AGAACAAAACTCCATCAAAATCCTCCACCTGAGCCACAAATCTTCCCCACCATCTCAGTATTCTCAACATTTTGCCTTGATTAAATTTTTGCCATGACCGTACGTGAATACAATCACTGCTGAGAATTGGAGACATGTTTGTTAGCCTGTCTTCATTAACAATAAATAGGAAAATATTGCTATTTCCAAGATGTCCACTTTGTTTTTGTATAGAGAAAGCCTTAGCTAGTTGACTTTGATACTACTGTTTCAGACGAAATTGTTGATTTGGATGCTATAGTAATCACCATAGAGATAATCACTTCATGAGAAACCAAATAGTTTGTTCATTCCAGTTAAATTGAATAGATTACTTCACATAAATGTTAGATATTAAAGATGCCATAGGTATTCGGAGTTACCAGTATTACCGTTCTAATCGAAGTATGCCAACTCAGTCGAATCCGAAGTCACAAACGAAGAGGTTCGAAGATATATTTAGAATGTCATTGATATATCAAGAAGTGTTTGATCTAAGCTGGCTAACTGCTGTAAGTGATGCGTACCCTTTCATGATCTGGTGCGGATGCGTGACCGAGCACTTTCAGCTAGATATGTTTGGTAAAACTAAAGTGGTCTGTACCAATGTCGAAAACCTACAGGACCATTTATTTTGGAGATTTATTAACTGCTACAAGATAATATCATGAAATGCTTTGTGTGGGCTCTAATGTTGTCCAAATAATGATCAAAAGCTTCTCATTTAAAACAAGCTCCAATTAGTCAGCGTCACGAATTAATGATATCGTAAATATGTTGTCTGATCGAATGAAACTATTGTACAAATCTGAGTTTCCACACAATATACAATGTCTCTTTTACATAGTTTATAAGAAAATAATTCTGGCTATAATACACTGGAAACAATATTCCTTTTATACAAAGTGAGAGGAGTGAGTATTAATACGTTCATGTACCATAATCCAAAGAAACTGCATTGACATATACAATCTTCGTGTTGATCCTAGATAATAAGGGGCATAGAAAAACTGGCTGATATTAACACTATGAAGTCCATAACCAGATGACCGCAACGTTAATTGCTTAACCTCATAAAACGAGAATGAACACGTTCATTGCAAAAAGAAAGAAATACACAAATAAAGTCGAAATACTCAGTTTATTTGAAACCTTGGTACTGATACCTATAAAGTAGTATCACTTAAAATGATCTATACATCTGATTCACGTTGCGGATTTCTACTAAATAAATGCTCCTTATCTACACGTAGCCGATCGGTCTGGGGGAATTCGACCAAGTGTGTCTACTGTCCAGTAATGTGATTAAGAGTGAATATATTCAATACATTCTCCACATAACATATAAATACGGATGTACAGCTTAAGTAAATGATTGCGTTGAAGGAACTCTCTTCCTTGAATTCCCTTTTTCTGATACCATGGATTATTTTCTTGTTAACTACATTTCCTAATACCGTTCCAGTCGACCAACTTCGACAGATCCCCGCATTCGTTCATTAATCCGATAATATTTAGCACAAACTGACAAAGCACTACACAAAATCAAGACTTTCGGACTAATCGCGCCGTTCCTGTTAGAGGAATCTATGACAAATTACGACCCGGTCGGTGTAATTCGCAACACCATCTAAATAAAAGTGACTAAGAACGCAGAAAACTTCAATGAGCGACATTCCAAAACGTTATTCCACATCTTAGACTACCTGCCAAAATATAACGTCATTGAAGGTCCCTGAGCAGATGTACAGCCAACACCTAGGTCGGACCAATACTGAAACATACGTATTGACCGCCAAACATCCTCGACTCATGTTAAGGACTTCTTTACAACATCATACTGTAACGAAGTGGACGACCTGACAACGACAACCATCTGCAGACGCATTTACCGTCATCTTGGCTACTCGTGATCACACTTCCTAGGGGAATTAGTACTTTAAGACACAGCTCGTTGAGATGAAATCTCTTCATTAAATTCCCAACGACTAGCGCGTCACGATTATTTAACCTCGACCCAATTACAAATAAAATACCCCATCCCTCTGTCAGGTCTCAAACGATAGTTTTAACGGGAAGGGCAGGTCCCCACACACCCTCGTCACAAAACATGGTTTTTAACGATGGACCACTAAACCCACCACGCACGCGGATAGCAAAAATGGACGCGTAGCACGACGGAACAATACACAGGAGACGGTAATCAAATTTTAGTGGCCCTAAAAAGGGCCTTTGCATCGTTCTCTGGGTTCCAATTCATATCTGCTGTTTAGGCTCGTTCACCACGGATACGACGTGCCAACTGGATATCTTTTGGCATAATAGTGACACGCTTAGCATGGATAGCACACAAGTTTGTATCTTCAAACAGTCCAACCAAGTACGCTTCACTGGCCTCCTGAAGAGCGGACACGGCTGAGCTCTGGAATCGTAGATCGGTTTTGAAGTCTTGGGCGATTTCTCGGACCAAACGCTGGAATGGGAGTTTGCGTATTAGAAGTTCGGTACTTTTCTGGTAACGACGGATTTCTCGGAGTGCAACGGTTCCAGGTCTGTACCTATGTGGCTTCTTCACACCCCCGGTAGCTGGGGCACTTTTACGCGCAGCCTTGGTGGCCAGCTGCTTTCGGGGTGCCTTACCTCCAGTTGATTTGCGAGCAGTTTGTTTTGTTCGTGCCATTCCGAAACACCGAGAGACGATGACAACACAGTACTCCAGTCACTCGTATTATATATATTAGTGGGGCATATATTGACCAATCAGCACTTAGAAAATTGACATAAATGACTTCGTGTCATTTCTATTTGATGTCAGAATCATCCAGTTCTCTATTGGTCCATTAGATAATTATGACCTAGATGTGAATGTCTACTTCATTCAGCCTTGAAATTTATTAACCTATCGCTTGAGCTCTAATACCGTGTTTTTTATAGGGTTCAGACTGATGGTTTTCCAACCAGTAATATGAGTTAGGTTTAATGTAGTATTATTTACTTACATAAACCGATAATATAGTATATTTGTTGTTTTATTCACGGAAAAGTTTCTTCATTGGGTCACGTAGTTAAAATATTTGAAGTTAGGCTTAAAGAACAATTCGACTAAATGATATATTAAGATATCGCTGTTGCACTTAAGGTCACCCACATTTGTTTTGATAATCTGGGCTCTCTTGTGAAGTTGTTACTACTAGCTACAGATTTGTTACATCTCTATATTAGGATGGATCTGGTAATCAGTTTCGTGATTAAAACTTAATAAATATTACGTCGATCTAGTAATTGATCTGTTTATGAGGTTCTTTGTCGCTTTTCTCATTCTGGTAGGTCATGCAAAACGCAATTTTGTATTTTGGAGATCTAATGGCCATTCATTTCTTATTATGCCCGAACACCGATAACCACGACGTGCAATGCTGGCTATTGTTGGAGATGGTTGGAAAAAAGTTAGGGACGGCCAAACCAAAATGTAGTATCAGTGCTTGAAGTCACAAACTCCTAGTCTTATTCATGATGGTAGATGCAGACTACTTGGTTGGGGTCCTCGTGACTATCGTATCAAATGGTTGAAGACCTTGGGTGACATGATTCAGAATCGATCACAATGGTGTAGTATATACACTTTCTGTCTTCCTTTAAACTATGACATTAAAATCGCTTCACATCTTCCCGTACTAAGTCCTCATATTCAATCTTTCTTTTATATGTTACCACCACTGAATTCACTACTTCTATGAATTCGGTGTTCATCTTATTGTACTAATGAAGTATGGCAACTTGGACCGATGCACATGTGTGCCTAGTCCTACGTTGTAGCTGACTGATTGTATAATTAGAGATAGGACTGTTAATAACTGGTACTATTTTTGTGATGTTTCTACAATATTAGTTGTAATGTGTTCCTTAACAAAATGAGATCCATAGTAACTCAGTCTGTTAAAATAAAATTGTACTTTTTGTTCGTGAACTTCAAACATATACACGTATTAACTAGTGAATATTAATTGCCGCCTGAATAATCAGTTTACCTGAGATCACAAGGCATAAGTAGTGTCGGTTGTGAAACACAAGATCTGTTGTTGTTACGTAAATAAATCTTCACCTACCGTCTTACTTTTTTCATGTGCGTCGAGTAATATCAGTTCTATTCCTTCATACATGGGAAGTAAATTATTTGAGTGCGAATCGCATAACAATTCATAATACAAATAACATTGACAATTCATCTATGTACCTGATCCTATCAAGGTCTACTACACAACCCAGATTACATCATAGTGATTGTTGATGTAATAAGTGACCATTTAGTACAATAACTGTTGAGATTAAATCGTAAATGAAAGTGAACCAGCAAATACTAGAAAGCTATCAGAACATGCTAAATTAGAAAAAAGACTGACGAAATCTTCCAACGTTGCTCTATGAGTTACTTCAACATAGTTAACTGATATAAGCAAGTGAATGTCTGTCTATCACTATATTAATGTTTAGTTGTATCGACTTACTAGAAAACAGACAGCCATAGATATCGTGATTATAAAAAAATCAATATTACATCTGTACGTAGTATTACGGTATTGGAATGTACATTGAATGTCTATCTGCGATTCTAGTTAATGACCAATCGGATTATAATAAATCGGCTAAACTTAAATAATCTATGCTATTTCGATCAATAGCTCATGGGCCTTGACAACAATAGCACTGGTGTTTATTATCTCAGTACTAGAAATTAACTAAATAAATATCCGTAGCGCGGCATCATGAGCGGACGGGGAAAAGGTGGTAAGACGCGCGCTAGGGCAAAAAGTCGATCAGCTCGTGCTGGATTACAATTTCCTGTTGGTCGTGTTCATAGACTTCTGAGAAAGGGCAATTATGCTGAACGTGTTGGAGCTGGTGCTCCAGTTTATTTAGCAGCCGTTCTAGAGTATCTAGCTGCTGAAGTGTTGGAATTAGCTGGCAATGCAGCAAGAGACAATAAGAAGACACGTATAATTCCTCGTCATCTACAATTAGCTATAAGAAATGATGAAGAATTAAACAAATTATTGGGTGGAGTTACAATAGCACAAGGTGGAGTTCTACCAAATATTCAGGCTGTACTTCTTCCTAAGAAAGCTGAAAAACCAAAAACATAAGAAGACATTTGTGAGTTTATACACTCATTAATTTGTTTCACAGTAATTTAATTTTGAACACAATAAATAAAGTAAATGTGTAAATATAAAAACGATGGAATTCTTTATGCAGATATCGGGTTTTCGTGCTGGATATGTAGTCCCTGTAGTTAGTTAGAAGAAAACAAAATGTTGGATTTAAAATACATCTTACTTACTTACGCCTGTTACTCCTAATGGAGCATAGGTCGCCGACCAGTATTCTCCAACTCACTCTGTCCTGGGCCTTCTTTTCTAGTTCCATCCATTAAAATACGTCAGAAAACGACAAATTAGTATTAGATCCATTTCATCAGTTGTAAAACTGCCTCGATATCGTTTCTGGTTGAATGTCGATGTTGATTGATTAAGGCCTCTAAAAGACGTCTTCCGTGTTACATGGTATATCTGTTTGATATATTAGCATGCTTGTAAGGTCAAATCTCAACACCCATATCTTGAGTCGTTACTCAGTCAAAAGCTGATATGCAGAAGTATTTATTTAATGGATATTAATTGTCCATATTACTGATCGGAATTAACTGTTGATTTGAATACCGATTTGATCTAATTCAGATCAATCGTCACGTGATGTATTTATGAGCAGATATTATGTTTTGTCATGCTTCAAGTCATGAAATTACTTTAGTTGTTTATGTATGGTATTCTGGAAAGTGTTTATGATGGCCAAAAGGAAATATCATATTTTAGTGTGGCATATCCTATGATAGAAAATGCTATAGGATCTACTTCGCTTTCTCAGACTTTAGACTGCTGTTGAAAGACGTTTTTCCCTCTCTCTAAAGTTTTCGTAGTATTTATGTAATTCGATAGTAACAGAACAGCAAATTATGGTATTGAGTAGAAATAAACAACTATGAGTATGAAAACTAGGTTTATAATCGGCAATTTAAAAAGTTTTAAGGCGTATGATATTTTATTTATCTGTGATAAATTACTTTAGCCACACAAGGTCTCATGTCTGATTATGATGCAAGTAGGGATTTACTGGTCAAAAGTGATATTATCAAGTAAACCAGTACTAAGTTTTATCCAAATTAATAATCAGAAACCCTTAAGTTGTAGACTAAATAAATAAATAATGCATCAAGTTTGGTAGAAAAATGAAAGTCTGGAGAAAATCTAATTTTTATAGGAATAATAATTTCTAAAGCTCTTTTAGAATTAGGAGGAAGATAATTTACTTCTACATTTGAATCTAATTATACAGTTTTAAAAACTTCATATAAGTGGCTGATCTACTATTCAAAAGACAATATAGTGTGTACTCTAACAAACTTCTATCAGTTAAATTTACTTCAAATTCCAAAAATTACTTACGCCTGTTACTCCTCGTGAAGGAGCATAGGCCACTCACCAGCGTTCTCCATCCAACCGGCTCAGTGGCCTAGTGGTTAAGTGATCGCGCGCGGAACAAGTAGGTTCTGGGTTCGAATCTCGCAGGGGGCGAGGTTGTGGATGTGTATAGCTGAGGAGTCCCACAATAGGACGTGTCCAAAAAATATTACATGATTTATGTGGGTCATACTTTTAACTAGCAACAGGCATTCGAGATTTCGATGTATGACGTTTGATATTATTCAATGGTCTTAAACATTACAAGAAGTCTTGTTAAATATTTAAATTGAGTTGACCTAGAGACTTTTACGTAAAGTGGAAACATGTTAGAGACATACAGCAAGTTCTAATGGCCTGAAGGAATGAATATCTATCTGTCGTGTTCCGTATACTACACTTAGGCTAAACCTGTTCGAGCTATAGTGGTAATAAAAGCCAAATACGGATTGAGTTGGATTAGTTTGCCGCAGGCATCCGTTTACTCAGATAGACAAGCATTAATACATTTCAAAACAGACAATGTGTAGTGTGACAAAGGGACAGGCATTGGGTAAATGGTGAGTGACAGACAAACACACAGAGCGCATAAGGGCAGAATCACAAGGAAATGAACACAAGACGTATATTTGCTGAAGGTCACAATTCACTACGAAAAGAATACAATTCCTATGAATGCAAAAATGACCCATTAGTTTGCTGTAGGTCTTAGTCCGAAAGTTGGATGAATTATGTAGCAGCACTAGACTCTACAAAGTAAACATAAGAATAAAGAATTACTAAATCATATTAGCCATAACAAGTTATTCCACGTAATTGTACCGACAGGAATAATGCAGTTTATTGCTCACTGATACTGTCTACTACTTACGTGGTTGAAGTAACGACGACAGGGGATATGAAGTCTACTTACTCTTTTATCAATTAACTTTGAATTCACTAGCTGTTCATTACTTCCCAAAAGGTTGGCTTTATTTCGAGATAAATCTTATCGTAGACTTGGTTGAAATTACTTCTTATTGATAAAAGCACACATCTTGATTTCATTTCAGTTGATAAATCGGAATTTAGTAATAATTTCATTTGATAATAAGTTGCATCAGTCATTATTATGATCACTTCAAAAAACATATTACTTGAAAACTGCTCAAAATAGTAGTGGAGTTCTGGTTATAAATTTTTTCTTGGCTTTATGTTAATTCTTCTGTTTGTAAGATCAACCGAAGGCTGTAGAGAAGACAAATTTAAAAGAAATCTCAGTTAATAATAGTTTATCTGAGTACTTGCTTCATAGTTTTGCGATAGATCTAGTATTAGAAAACCGGTTGATTAATATTGTACTTTTTTAATTTTTCTTTGTATTTATGTTTACAATTAAGGTAGATGATCGGTTCTATTATATATTAGTTTCAATCAATTTCGGTCTAATCCAAACCTAGTTCGGGTTACATTCATTTGTAATTGTTGACTTTACTATCCTTCTAACGTTTTACACTTCAGACATTCTATGCGAGTGTTTCTGAGTGAAATTGAAAGAGCTAATTTCCAGTGGGTGATGTAATTTTTCCTAGATTTGTTTGTTTTCAGTTAAACTAATCATCTGTATCGGGAGCGAAATGGTTATTCATCAATATGATTAGGCAATAGTCGTTATTCATCAAATGTTTGATGAACATAGAAATGTAGAGCATTAAATTTTAACTTATGTATCGTATATGACGAAAAGACATAAATGTTTCATGAACCGATCAGTGTTAGACCACCATTGAAAATCTGGAAGCACTGGGAGGCCGTCTCGTCTTAGTATGGGGCTCTCAAGCAATACGCATCTATGATTCCCCAGTCGGGACTCGAACCCAGGACCCTTGGTCTTGCGAGCGAACACCTAATCCCTAGACCACTGAATCGGGATCCAATGGTGTTAATATCTAAATTCAATCAATCCACGACTTATCATAATCGGGATTGTGTTAGAGATTCTTACGCATTGCTAAATCTATTAAGACAAAAATTCAAATGAACTCTGACCTATTTAGTCTAGAAACTGACCTTTTTCTATATATTGATTCACTTTGTTGGTCATTTGACCTATGTCTTTGTTTGTCCGAATATGATTAGTCTTATGGAATGGGTGAAAAAGAGACATAGTGTGAAGAAAATAGGCGAGAGAGTAGGATGTGATCTAAGTTAATACTGTAAAATTACATTGGTAAAATGTGGGTTGTCGTAAAAGTTTTGAAATAATATGCGACGTGTTTTGTAATCACATGGATCAATAATCCAAAGTTATTTGCCAAGTAATAAGAGATTTTAAAAAAACACATCGTATACATCAACTTTTATTTAAGGAATTAATGTTGAGAAATAAGCGAGGCTGATTTATACAAAGTCCGATCATTGTCGAACAAAGTAATGTATCATTTAAAGTTAGAAAACAATGAAAACTGTTTATGATTGAGATCATGAACCGATTGATGTTAGACCACCACCTTTGGAAACCTGGAAGCACTGGACGGACATTTCGTCCTATTGTGGGACTCCTTAGCAGAGCTCATCCACGACCTCACCCCCTGCGAGATTCGAATTTAAATTTATTGAGTTGCTAATGGATTGGGTTTGAAATCACGACTATGGGACTGAATATTCAATTTTAATTAACATTACATTCAAATGATTTTTTCGGTCCTATGATAAGTTCAAATGTTTCTCTGCATTTTAGTTGATTAGAGGTAAAGAGTGCAAAGCTTTGAGATGCTTAAATATTTACATCTGTTATTCCTCGTGAAGTAGTATAAGCCACCAAACAGCATTCTCCATCGAACTCTGTCCTGGGTAATCCTTTCCAGTTCCTATTTATCCTTTCCATGTCCGCTCCAATTCTTGACGCAGTGTGCTTCTTGGTCTTCCGCTTTTCCTTTTCACTTCAGGGTTACAAGTTGCAGCTTGCAACCTGATGCAGTTAGGTGATTTCCGTAATGTATGTTCTATCCAGTCCCAACATCTTTTCCTAATTTCCTCTTCAGCTGGGAGTTGGTCTGTTCTCTCCCAGAGTAGATTGTTGCTATTGGTATACGGCCAACGGACACTGAGTATCTTGTGTAGACAATCGATTACAAATACTTGTACTTTTTTATTATGGTTGTGGTAGTTCCCTATGTTCCAGCTCCGTACAGAAGAACGGTCTCGACGTTCGCCTTGAAGACTATAACTCTGATATTGGTTAGCAAATGTTTTACGTTCCATATGATCTTAAAGTATACGAATGCTGTCCTTGCTTTGCCAATACTAACCTTTACGTTTGCATCGAATACTCCTTGTTCGTCTATGATGCTTCTCAGGTACGTGAAAGATTCCACGTCTTCCAGAGTTTCTCCATCAATTGTGGTTGGTTTAGTTGATGTTCTCTATGTTGTATTTGAGGATCTTGTTTTTTCCCTTGTGTATGTTGAGGTCTACTGCTACAGAGGCTGCTGCTACATTAGTAGTCTTCATTTTCATTGGTTCGTGTGTTTGGGATAGAAGGGCCACGTCATGTGTGAAGTTCAAACTGTCTTGTTGAATGCAAACAGTTCATTATATTCAGTGCTTTCCCTACGATGTCGAAGTCTTCATAATCCAGTCAACCACTCGTATTGCATTAGTCAGCTGTCATCCATGCACAACTTTGTGCTGTAGTCCGTCGATTAAAATGTTGGATGATGTCGACGATCTCATGTACACCATGGTATCGAAGATGGTCCCATGATGTTTTCCTATACACACTGTCAAACGCTTTCTCTTAGTCAAGCAAGTTGATGTATAGTGACGAGTCCCATTCAATCGATTGTTCAACGGTGATCCTCCCTCTTACTCTCTTGTTCTCCCTCCCTTGAATTTTTTTCAGTGTTTCCATAGAGATGAATTCCTTATGATGATGCTTCTTGAGGCCCAGCAGTTCCTGAAGTGTTGAAGTTAGTGCTCCTTTGATCCCTTTGCAGTTGTCCTCCATCGTAGTTTCTTCTTTCAGCAGATCTTGTCAGGCTCGGAACTTATTATTGAGAGCCATCTAGAATTGGTTGAGTTTGACGGCATGTCGAAGGAAGGTTGTATTGAAGCTTTGTAATGCTGTTTCTCCAGTTGTCCATTGCTTATTTAGCTATATTTATTATTCTCGTGAAAATCATACATGAAGTAATGCAACGCTTTTTTTATCCAACATCTCATGATCTTACAATTGAGTATCAATTAAAGGTTAATCAAATAGTTTCTATTCCATTGATTTTGTAGTTTACCCTAAGTAATTAAGTCAGAAATATTTGTTACCGAAAAAGAACCAAATTATACTATTAAAATCATTATTGAACGGATGGTGATTTATAGGTGTGACCAGTTTGATACGTAAAGGAATAAAATATTTAAAGGATACAGACACAAATGTAAATTGTTTGAAAGTATGGGCTTCATGAATTGTTTTGATAGGATATCTATCATTAATATTATAATGATGGTGATTAGTAGTAGTGATCTAGTATTTCCCTCGCTGGAGGAAAAGGAATCCATGTTTGTGAGTGAATAACGAAGTGGAGGGCAATTCTAAGACGCTGATATGACAAAGGGTATAGACCTAATTGAACGCATCTAAACTCATAGTTTAAGATACAGTCGTTCATACAAATGTGAATTTTAAACGGTAGCAAAAACTACTCAGAATAGAAATATAATATTCTGGAAGTGGTCGGACCCATGCTGTTTACAATAAGTTATTAAGTCATTGTTATGGAGATCATGTGGTATACAGCCACGTTGTTGAGAATTAGAAATTCGGATTGTGACCTGTACTATGAAGAACAGATTCTAGGAATATTTAGTTTGAAATTCTATCACTGAATGAATTCTAGATAGCATCTGATCATTTGTGATATAGTTGAAATTAGGAGTATATTCACTGAAGCAATACTAATCACATTTAGAATTGCTGTTATTAGAATTTGATTTTGAGTACCATAATGCGATCTTAGTGAGCTTTATACTAAGCTAAGCTCGTGAAGAGAAAATGAGCATTTTACGATAAGATCATCTGTATACAGAACAGGTTTACCTATGATGAAGTGATTATAGTTATCTATACGAATATTCATCACTTTTAGAACGAATAGTTTATCATTTATTCTTATTCACATTGTGAACTCATAACGTGATTCACATCTTACTGATTCACGTTATTCTACTTAATAAGGTCAACGTCTGAGTATGACTGGACAAGCATTTAGTGTAGATTTGATTGTGAAACATTATATATTCCTTGATAAGTTCGTTTTTGTTTATTATCATGAAGTTCAGACAAGTTAGCTGGACAAAACATTGGAACTACTTAAATTTCAATCTCTGATAATTTGAAACATAAATTTCGTTTATATAGGCCATAAGTAACAGAGGACCTAAGACACAGGTTTGTATTACAACACGAAGAATCATAAAAGGAGTTTATTGTTAACTATTTCGTTACGAAAACTGAGAGCCCGTATTATTTCCACTAGAAAATAAACTCACATCTTCTCAATCATAGATTTTATGTAGAAACGGAAGTTGTTCTCTTAAAAAAATGAGCCAGTTATTTCCTCATTACAGTCCTAATTTTAATAGTCATTGTTAATCCAAGATATGTACTAAAGTAGAAAAACCATAACTTTTAATATACACCTTTACTGTGAAGTATGTCTCTTGTAGTGAAGTTCTTGTATTTGCATGATGTGGAGAGAAAAAAAGCTTCAGAATGTTGTCATAGCTTTATATCTTAGTATGGTAAATAAACTTTCATGGATAATAATTAAAAAGGGTAGTGAAGTAAATATGTAATGTATTATAGACGAATGAATCCTGGTCTTTAATTGTTCTGAAGTGTTTTTGTATCAGATATACTACTTAATAATAACAAGCAGTTTGAGTATATTAAGGTATATTTTACATTTTATATTAAGACTGACACAATCATTAGTTGTGTTTACTGATTTAAAATGTATCCTATAGCTTTATTCTTATTCACTTATTCGATAAATGTAATTTGTATTCGACAATACCTTTTTTACAATGAAAACGACACTCAGACACATAGTGACTGTAAATTCATGTCATTTGTTTTATTTTACATATAAACAGTGCACTTTCATTTAAATCTATTCGTTTGGTTTCGATAGTTGAAGCATAGTTTGGTCGTTAGGCTAGGATAATTGTATACATTTTATGATTAGTAAAGTTACGAAATTTTGTTGATTAAACCAACTTTCAGTTAACTAAGTACTCAAGAAAAGACATCGTGGTTTATTTAGTTTTTCAAAAAAAAACTGTTTAGTTTTATACATTTCATTGCTTGATATTAGTGTTTCAGATAATCTGACTGCAGCTTAAGAAGATATCGGTTAGGCTTTCAATTTAGCCTTTAGTTTAAGATTTTTATTCACGTATGAACTTGTTATGCTCATATTACTATAACCGGCAATATTTATGTGTTCACTTGTTGGGACTGATAGATTTGTAGAATAAAAGTAATATACGATTGAAATGTCCAATCTTCCAAATATACATGTTCAATGTTGCAAATTATTTGAGAGTGAATCACCGATGCTTTGTGTCTGATATGATATGTTTAGGCCCCCAAATGCCCTGGTACGACCGAGAGTGGGGAGAGTCCGCTCTCCCTCTTGAAATGCTCTCACATGACCACGCGTATATAGCCTCTGCCAGGGAAGTCCTACTCACTGCCTTCTCGTGGCGGGGGTGTTGTTTACGAAATTGAGAGGACGAAAAGCGAATGTCCGGCGCTTTAACCGGATTCCAAACCAATGGTGCACATGGGCTCCAGTATCCTGCCGGAACAAATGGCGTATGAACCAATTGTTGGTCACCGGCTTCCATGGGACTGCATCTCCTCACAATGCTCCACTGCCTTGTGGATCAGACCTTCAGGTCGAAGGCTCGGGGAGTGGCCCCCTAAGAAAACCACCTGCTTCGGTTTGGGCACCCGGACAGTATCACAGCCCTCACACATATCGAATGAGATTTGTGTGGTGCATATGTATTTAGTGCCTATTTGTACCAATATCTACGATGTGTTTAGGCAAATGTAATAGATGTTTAGTAATTAGGTTGCCGTGTTTTCGATTGAAGTAATGATGTAACTCATTTATAAAATACTGGTCAATTTACACGACTAATGTCAAATTCTCTGACAAGACCTCGTATCTAGATTTCTAATATCACCTAGTTAGTAGCTGTTGGCTTAATAAACTATTTATCCTAAGAAGACATACGAAATCACTTCGCTATGATCGATCGAAGCTTCTCATACAACTGACCTTCATCATTTTTGTTGTTATCATTGGTGGGTGCATAACATCCATGTTGATTCCTTCCTTTGTTTTAAAGGATGCTTTGCTGATTCTGGGTCCATGAGATTCCCATCCTATAAGTGTATTACGTGCTTATTTGGACAGAATTAGAGCAACTCCCTGAATGTTCGAAGCAGTCTCTTCTTCATAAGCAGAGTAAAGCAGCATCCCTCCTTTCCTGTTTAGCTTGGGTTCAATCGGTTCCACTGAGTTCGAGAACCACCATGTTGTATCTCCTCATTTGCGCAGCTATTTAACTGGTCCTCCCAGTCTCCCACATTGTTCAGACATTCCATATACCAATATTTATCGTTGCTCTGGTTGTTAGAAGGGTCGTCGGCTTCGTGGTTTTTGAAGAATCTCGGCTTTCACCATGAGGCGTCATAACTCTTATGCATGAATATTCTTCGATTCTGAGGGTGGAATTTAAATGGTTTTAGTGGTTTATCCTGGTTAGTGGTTTCTTAGCAAGGTTGTTTTCTACGGGATGGGGTTACTGACTTATGCCCGACCCTCCTCTTTTACCCGGGCTTGGGACCGATTGTAATCCTAGAATGGCTACGGCCAGAGTTATTGTTAAAAATAGTGGTAAGTTTACTCCAAGCTTGAATTAAGTAATTTTGTTTGATAACAGTTACGATTGTTATATTAAACATTGAATTTAATACACTACCATTTGTTTATATAATTACATAATACCCGGTAAACCCATGCATGACATATAATCAGTATCCTACTGAATATTACGTTATTTCTACATAGCGAAAAATAACTTTCGGCAACCATGTACGTGTCTGGTTGTAAATAATCGATAATCAGCATCCTAGCATTAACGGCCATTTTTCACTGCTTTGAGACCCAAATGAACTGACCTTAGAAAATAAAATACTTCGTGTGTTTCCTTACAACTACGCATAATATAGTCTAAATAAGATCAAAACATTTTATGAGTACGTTTGGGTTACACTGCATTTGTTAGTATAAATATTAGGGGACTACCCTAAAAGTTACTCTATTGAAAGTTGTTTGATGGAAATAGGTTTAACTTTACGAAGTGGTTAGGTGAAAAGTGTGATTTAATGTCAAGGTTTTGAGTATTATCACGAATAAGTTCGGAGTGATCATACCATTCAGTAATACGGGAACTTTCCACATATAGTTCAAGTTTGAAATTAATAATAGGCATATGGTAGTCTATTTATTTCCAACAAATAAAAAATCGAAGAGAAATTTCAAACTGGCCACAATATGCTGGGATAATTATTATTAAGTTGGATTCTTCAAAAAAAGCAGATGGTACCAACTAGTGTTTTGATTAATCATAATAGTATTGGCGTATTTAATAGACGAATTCTCTACGATTATTAATCTAGATAACTAAGAATACAGAACACGTATACACTATTTGAAATATTATACATTTCTATTCGTTGAGAAACCAACTGATGTATTACCAAAGTTGTTTTTTATCTCACTCTCTAGTAACCATAAGGAGTAACATGGTTAAGAGAATTTCAGCATGTCGCCTTGAATCTTTGTTGAAAATATCACACTGAATGAATACAATCGAATCTGTTTATAATATTTTTGGAGGAGGACAGAAAGCTTACGTCACAGTGTTAACTTGTAACGGTTCCGTTTCTTAATGGTAATTATAAAGTTAGTATAGACACATAGGATTTTGAAATGTACTGTAATATTAAACTCTGTATGTTAACAGTTTTATCATTCCTGATCCTAAGAATATAAAAGATTAAGTTTAATTTTTAAAATACTTTTTGGAAAACTCAGCAAATGCACATTTGTAGCACAACTGAAACTGATTTTCCATTAAGAAGAAAATAATCTACTAATTAGTAGTCTAAAAATAAAGTCAAAGCATATCAGTCAAATCGATTAGCCTTTGAAGAGCTGAAATTCATTCTGAATAAATGAATTTGAAGAACAGATACTAAACTGTTTGGAGAACCGTTGAAGTTATTTCATTTCGCAAAATTTGGTATGCTTAAAAAAGTTTTCTTTCTGACAAATAATCGATGTTAAGTAGTCCACTCTACTTCCGATAAATTAGATAACTTGTAATTTTCATTGCATTATTCCTACCACTGTCAAATATGATTTATCTTATTTAAGAATAATGAGATTGAATTAAGAAATGGGTTTGTGATAACAGTGAAGGTAGGATAAATTATAGTTATTACTCAACTAATATTTGTACGACCAATATGATGATATTAGTCAAGTGTAATAATATTGTGATTTTTTTCTGTAGTATAACCATATAAAACAAAGAAAAGAAAGCACCAGGAACTATTTTCCTAAATAAACTGCTATCAGAAAATTGTCGTCAAATTTTTTCACCTACTTTTACTTTGAAATTGCGACTATTCTGTAAAATTTTGAATAACTAATTCGAAAAGAACTATTCCGTGACAATTCAATTCGAAAGACAAACCACTCTAGTCACAATCACATCAGAATTAGAACCAACTTCTCAACCGGTTCATCTGAGATACAACAAATCGATTAAGATCAATGACTTAGAGATACAGATACATAAGCCTCTTTAAACGCTTGTCTAACCTGCTACATGGGAAGACTAAAAATGACTAGGTTACTGTAGTTGGTAGACCGAATAGTGTCCACAAATTATTGGCAGATACATCAATCCCTTTGACCAGGAAAGAGAAATATTTAGGGTAAGACTTGAACTAAGTGTACAATCGGTTCCGTCCAATAATATCCCTTGTTATCATCTTTCACCCCACCGTTTGGCTTTGAAATAACATGTAATATGTTTAGACTTGGATAGCTTATTAATACGTAGATTACATAATGATAATTTGTTCAAAAATGTGCAATTGTTATACTATGATGTATTATAGTAGAGCCTAATGGTTGAAACAGTCAAGTAGTAGCTTCAAAACTCACTCCATATATATAGCAGTCTTGATAAGGAGATAGTATAATTAGTCGCTAATCTCTGCAGACCAACAACAATTATAGCTTAAAGTCAAGTATATGAAAATGAACTTGCTTACTTCTGAGTTACATTAATTAACTAAATTAACAATGCATAATAAATATGCTAATATCAATTTATAGAAGAACAGGAGGATCGTAACAAAAAGAAAAAAACAAACAAATTATATATTTATTTACAAATTTTTTTAAATTCAATAATTCAATAAGGCGATGAATAAACAACTACAAGAAAACTTTTAAAAACAATTCACTTCATTCACAGTTTGATTAGAAAATAAACGATCAAATGAGAAACGTACTAGATCGAATGTTTTATATTGTTGAAAGGCAATCAATTCAGAAATTGATTTTCCAATTGCTATAGCATGCTGTGTACCATGACCACTTGAACCATTGCAAAAATACATGTTAGTATGTAATGGATGAGAACCAATAATTAAATTTTGATCCCATGTATTATAATCACATATGGATATCCAACCTGAAGTTACCTATTTACACATTGAATGAAATGATATGAGTATACGGATACTATGTTTTGAGATTATATTAATCAGTATTTATGAAGATATTATGCATATATATATATATATATATCAATTGTTGGAGATCCTGTTTCTGATCCGGAAATGGACAAGGGTGTTTTATTCCGGAGTTGATGTTCACTAATTAGTGTCAGGAGAAATTTCACATTCAAGCCGACGTAAGACTGAAATCCTATGAACAACTTTTGTCCATCTTAAAATCTGAAGAACAGTTAAGTTCTTATCGTTTAAAGCATCTTAATAAGTTAAGACAAAGATCCACAAATTTAATAATACTTTCTTGTTTGTTTTTTTGGGTACTTCAAAATGCTGAGTCAGAATTCAATGATCAACATTTCCAAATTCCATTGATTAATATATAAATATACCATACTATACTATAAATATCTAATTGATAAATTTCACTAAGAAAACACACCGAGTTATTGTGTAATCTAAGCTAAGTCAACAAATGTAGTCAAATCACACATCTGACATCAAGTGATATAATCTATTTATCAGTATTATTTTTCAAGAAAAATAAATCAAATTATTATATTTAAATCATCAAGTTAATTACTTCAGCATCTTTAAATCCTGGTATACGTTTACACAATAACGGTTGAATATATTCATGGAAAAATTCATGGTTCACCGAATTCTGATATTAAAATAAAAATAAATGAATAGAAAATGGTAGGAATTGAAATGAAAATTAACTGACGATTCAAATAATACAATAAAGTCTAATAAGATGCAGCTGGCGAAATATTAATCCAGAGATTACGCAGAGCAGTCCGAATATCATTCAAAATCAGCGAACTAAGACTAGTGTTTTCTGCACACCAAGGCTAAAAGATGAACGACCTAGAATAACCATCCCGTTTTGTATTTATCAGTTCCACTGCTCTTGTGGAGCAAGTTATATTGGTCAAATTCCTAGGAATTTACACCTTCGTGCTCGCGACCACCTCTCAGCGTGACTAAGCGAAGTTTTAGTAGTGAACAGTTCGATATTGGCTCATTTAGCGCAAGCTGGTCATAGTGCCAGTATAAGCCAATCTTTTTCAATTATTTATCCAATCAGTAATTTCTTTCAAAAGCCTGTCAAACTCAAAGTCCTTCAAATGGCGGGAGTAGTAGCCATCTGGATCAAGAAACCGGAGATTTGTGCAAAAGAAATATCTTCAACCACTTATCCTACCTTCGATAAGTCAATAGTCATCTTAATTATGGGATGATCTACTTTGACTGATCTACATACATCTTTTCTCCTTTATATTTTCGTAATTTACAATGATTTTAGGTAACTTTTGTTATTGTTATGTGCTATATATTATTGTAATAATTATCACAATTACTATTACCATCAATCTTGTGAAAACACCAAGAATTTGATTACCTATTATCCCGTTTTATTATCCCATATTATTGTAGACACTAAGTATTCTTTGACCGAACAATTTGATTTGATCTGCAACTACACAATAGTTTCTTTCACTCTGGATTAATCAACCTTGTAATTTCTTTTAATGTATAAACCTATTCCAGTTAACGTTAGGTACTAATCATTTCAACATGAACAATTCTATTTTAAAATGTTTTATATTCCTATGCTGGATTATTTGTCTTAAAATTGACTATTCTTTTGAAACCTACACTTGCATTTATAAATGTAGAACTTGATGTGAATATGAAGAGAAGAATATTCTTTATTCAGATATTTTCTTTAAGAGTTTCGATTTATTCATTGAAAGCCAAGAAGAAAAAAAGAGTTCCAATCTATTCATAACTGTTGTTTATCTCCGAAGTTAGATTATGTAAAGCAATCGATAAGTCAGTCAGTGAAATTCTTCATTTTAAAGCTTTTGTAATAAAGATAAATTGTTCTATTGTGAAAAGTATCCGTTAATGCGTTCCCATTTTTTTTCGAATATAAATATCAATGATTTAATAATCATTACGGCAGTAAATTCAGGTTAAATAGAATTTGAACGGCGGTAAAAAAACAACTAAACGGATAAATGTTTATTCAATAGTAAATAGATCTCGTGGAACCAATTCTGAAGAAAAACAGTATGATGTGGAAACGAATTGCTGTTAGACGAATGACAACTTAATATTATTTATGATTTTCTAGAACTACGATTCCATAATTGCCTATTCTTAAGCTTTCATTTTTCTTGAGTGATATTATGAAGTAGTCACTTGATTTAGCAAAGGTGTAGTGAAGACAGTGAACAGCTCAATACTGGCTTAATTAGTGCAAACTGATCATAGTGCCAGTATAAGCCAACCTTTCACAATAATTTATCGGGTCAGTAATTTTTTGCCATAATCTGTTAAATGACTAATTGAAAAACATAAAATATAACGACAGAATCTAATAATTTAAATTACTGAAAAAATTATGTGATATTTTTACACTAATCTCCTGCACTTCAACGGGATATTTTAGTATGAGCAGTATGGAACGTTGCTACTTACACTGACTGATAACTGTGTAATGACCGATGTCATGTTTATCTAGTTCATTAATGCTGACCGAACTCTATAGATCAAGTTAAAGTGTGGCTATAGTAGATTGTGTCATGCAGAATCCCATGTACTATGTTTTGAAGTTAGGTGGATAGTGAAAATCAATGGGAAACTCTGGATATAGATTTCATAATAGTTGGTATTCGTCAGCAAGTTGTATCTGAAATTTTGTGGAGATTAATGCTCAGCCAGTCGTGACCTAAACAGCCCAGTAGCAAAGTCTATGACTGTGATACAGGTTAGACCTAACTCAAGTTCCATAAATAGCATTGATTCCCTTAAGAGTGCAAGCAGTTTTTCCTGAAGAGTAACGGAAAGTACGAAACATAGGTCCAAGGATTTATGCTGATTACCTACAAATACTTAACACTTATTGTTTGTGATGTCTTTCTTTTACAGGCACGTTGTCCAATCTAGCTATCTAGATGTAATTGGGAAAGTCAAATTTGTCGAAATAGAAAGCAGGTAATAAAAATACCTATATATAGTCTTAAAAAATAAATAACTTACTTGTTTATTACAATTATTATTAAGAGAATCAAATTTAGGATTATCAGAATAAACAATAAATTCCCCGGAAAGATCACGACGTTCAATAAATAAACGATTATGATCTATCATAAATGGCATATCCAAACCAGGTAATGGATAATGACTTTCTATATGACTAAGTGTATTTTTAGGTCGCACAACGAAAATTTGACGATATCTAGATCAAGAGATAATGAAGAGAAAGGAACAAACAACTCATGAGTACAACAATGAAAATAGAATATGAATAGTTCATTAATGTGAACAATGGTATCATTGTCTAAACCTTAACCTATAGGTCTAGACGAACTATCATTAAAGTGACATTTAAAAATTTTATAAAATTTGAGCATAAACTTTTAGTCTAACATCGCTATTATTTGGAGTAATTTCAATAATGATTAATGAGATGGAAGTAATTCTGATAGGCTTGAAAATTTTGATATTTTTAGGAAAAACTATTTAAAAAAATAAAAGGTTTGACACAAATGTGCATCAATTCGAACTAGTATAGTTTACATCAGTATGAGATGGGGAATTAATTAATAAGATTATAAGTAAAAGAGTTAAAACAATAATATCGATAGCAGTGAAACTTGCAGAAAATATAGTTTGAAAAGATTGTGTAACACTAAAACCGAAGGTTCAGAGGAATAAAGAGAATAAATATATATGGGTTACTACAAGAGATTCCAAGCAATACTATTCAAGCTATCTGCTTACAAACAATGACTACTACACGGATCTAATCTAGAGCAAATTTCAATTTAAACCTTTGCCTCCCAGCATAGAACGTTAGAATAGACAGTGAAAAGAGTAGACAATACATGTTTTACCCTCAGTCGATTAAAACTCAGCTTTATAGATTGATTTATCATCTCTATCTAGTATCCTATGCATAACCTTAGTAATACTCACAGTGTTTCACATTTGTAAAGTAATAAGGTAAAAACTATTGTGGAGTATAATGACGTTTTGAAAAGAAGATAGATATCTTTCGTGAACTTGTAGTGTCGGTTGCTATTGCCAGTCCACATAGTTTATTCTAGCTTTCGGACAGGCCGATTTATCCATCCTTCTTGAGTCAATATTTGGCCTTGTTAATTATTAGCTTATTAATCCTGACTGTTCTTTATATGATCGTATGCGTGAGCATTTCTTATCATATCCGTCACATGTCTGTAACTTATTTTTGTTTGGCTGTAAATATCGATTCACGCTTGGTTAAATCGAGTTGGCCCACTCGCCTTCTCCATCACGCGTCATTATTCTTTCCTTTGTTTTCCAATCAACGATTGCACAGAATATACGTACTCAAAAATCGTTCTGGTGTTTAACTTATTGAGTTCCGTTATTCACTAACGCGATTAAAGTTGATGATTATACACGAGGATTGGCGACATGTATATTTCGATAACAATCAGAAACGATCTAACTGGAGTCAGATACCGAGCCACTAAAAACTTCAGATGATGGAAGTGACAAAAACCAAGCCAGGTTAATGTACTCGTTCTGGGATTTAGTTAGCTAACGACCTAGTTGGGTTGGTGAGACTCGTAATGTAAGTGAATTGATAAACGAGCCCAACTACTTTAGTCTCTATGGTCAGCTAAGCTATTGACTTAGATCGGTTCTGTGGGAAGATTTTGTATTTAGAGGGAGTAAATAGATCTGAAAACCCTTGATTCGTCAATTTGTATTTATTCAGAGTATTTATTAAACAGGGCGATGTTAGTTGTGTGCTTGAAGTCTGTAAGGAAACTTTCACGTAGAAGGCTAATTTCTATGGTATAAAATGACATTTGCGTACTCAAGAAATAGGAAAAAATAACTAGTGTTATCGGGTTAAAGATAAAAATCATTTTGAATTTCTCCTACATTCAAAGCAATTTTTTGTACTAAATGTTAAGATGAATAAGATTTGTAACCTGAAGATTCCGTAGAATTTTCGAATGCTTACTTTGAAAATAAATTCCATGATAACTTATGTAGAAGTGAGGAGGACAGGAAAATGATATATATAAAAAAACGATGAATTTAAAAAGGAAGTAAACTATTTACAAATCACCTTGGCTCAACTGGTAACCGTAAAGGAAGATTTTCGCTGCCAATTTCAGCCAATTCAGCCACATGTGCTGCCCATGGACCTGCTGCATTTACTACTGAATTAAAACTAATAGAAATATTCATTTGGTTGGGAAGGGAAATCTGAACAGATTGGAATCAAACAAATAAAGATACGTGGATTAATGGTAAAAATGCATATTTTCTAAGGTAGAAAAAGAATATTTTATGTAAATGTACATTTGATTCTTTTGAATCGATCAATTGCAAATATTTCAAAGGCTTAAATACATTCCTGTAAAGAATATATCATCACGACTGTACCTTCGAAATAGCATGAAATCTGTAAAAAATTTTCTTAAATAAAAATATTTCCATTATTACTCATATGTGGTTAAGTGATGCTTACTTACAAAAACTGTACTACTAACGCAAAGCCTCTCAAAGAAGTAGACTAAACGACTGGTCGGTAGTATGACACATTTATATACAAGATACTGAATAAGAGAAGTAAACATGATTAAAAGTTATTTAAAACATAATTGAATGCTGGGTATGAGTTCTGTAGGTCAGTCACCAGCCTATGAAGTTTGGACCACAATATCAGGTTTATTTATTGCCCATTGTATCAATAAAAACTTATTACGCAAATTCAATAGAGCGATATAATGTATGATCTACCAAGATTACTTATTCCTTTAAAAAGCCAAGTAGAAATTACTGCTATTGTATTTAGTTAAGCTGAACATCAGAACTGTAACCCAGTACAAACATGTATGTTAATGCACTTCGTTCTGAGATTATACTCTCAGATTGACGGTTCGTGACATGACCCAACTGCTGGAGCTAAAGTGGTTGGAGTAGGATTAAAACATGCAGCTCAAAGGTTGAGATTTAAATGATTAAATCACTAAAACACTGCTCCAGTTTGGTTGAAATTACTCTTTGTATGCTGTATTTATGAATATGAAAAACGCTGGTATTTTAGCTGGAACATAATGGACAGAGGTATATTATTTAAAAACCAAGGTAACCTGTTGGATAATTGTACTTGTGCAAGATTAAAACGAACAGAATTAGATGACTTTATTAAAGCTTACTGTAGCAGAACGTAAAGGTTTACATGATACTGGAGGTCTCTGTGACTCCCCACCAGAAGAAGATACCATAATGAATGGACTAGCATGGAAGTCAGCCACTTCTCCAACAACATAGTTTACTCCCATGAAATGACATTTTATTTTCAATGCCTTCAGTAAAAGAAAAGGATCAAACCATCCTTCATTTTCATAACCTAGAAAAGAAAGTAGATATGTTATTTGTTTGAAAATACGAAGATAATTAAACAAACTTAATGAGAAAGATTATTTTTGATATGAATCTAGATATACCATATGATAACCTAAAAAGAGAGATCATTCATTTCACATCTTTGACCGATCAGCAGATAATCGAGCAGCCTTTAGTTAGAGTACAGCTAGGTGACAATACACAGTCAACGTTGAAATGGCATATGACAAATATATTGAGAAGTCGTCTTGTGCATAAATTCCCATTATATCATTTTTGGCTCAGACGTCTCCGTGTATTTAGTGTCGGAAATAAAAAAGTTCAACTACATACAATGTCACCGATGGTAAAGATTCGTGTAACTGACGTCAGGTTCGAGCATGTACAACTTGGTACTGTTGAATCCTTACCACCTAACAATTTTACACACTAGCATGTATTGACTGATTCACTAGGCGGCCGATAGCCAATTCATTAAAAGACACTACAGAAGAGGTAGTGGTAAAGAAATTTGTGAAGGACTCGGTTGGCAATTTTTGAGTTCTAAAAACAACTACCACAAACAGGGGTTCACGATTCGAAAGTCGTCTGTCTCATCGCCCAGTAGTCGTTGAGCATCAAGTGAATATGAACCACAGCTTGTCACCCTGCCACAGACGGAATGATAGAGGTTTCACTGACAACTAAAAGCCTCTTTAACAACCATGGGATGTCAATCTCCCTTTAGTATTACTAAAGATTCTCACAACCTTCAAGCGAGGCATCGGGTGCTGGGCTGCCAAGTTGGTTTATGAAACAAAACTGTTTCAGAAATCTCAACACGGATTCAAAAAGCCCGTTTGGCTTTTGCCAACTTAGGTCACCTATGGCGAAGGCGAGATATTTGTCTATCAATTAAGGGAAGAGTATACTGCGCGGCAGTTCCTTCTGTTCTACTTAAACGGCTGCGAAACGTATCAATTAAGAGTAGAAGATACTCGTGAGTTACTAGTATTCGATCACAGATGCCTTAGAAATATTGTTTGAATCTGCTGGGATCACTGGATCAGTAATAGTGAGGTTAGACGCAGGGCATTAGGGAATGATGATAAATCAGTTCATGAGATTGTGAATCTTCATAGACTGAGATGGTTGGGCCACGTGTTACGTATGCCCGAAAACCGATTACCACGACGTGCATGCTGACTAGTGTTGGAGATGGTTAGAAAGTTATGGGCGGCCAAACCAAAACGTGGAGTCAGTGCTTGAGGTCACTAACTTTTAGTTTGTGCCGTGTTGGTAGATGCAGACTATTTGGTTGGGGTCCGCGCGACTATCGTAACCAATGGTTGGAGACTCTTGGTGACATAGCTCACAATTGATCGCAATGGTGTAGTGTATACACTCTCTGTCTTCTCTTAAACTATGACATTAAAACCACTTTATATCTTCCTACCAACTATTTTTTCTTCTTGTGCTATGTTTATTATTTATTTATTTGGACACATGAATATTGGTACAAGAGAGCGCCAATATATATGCGCCACACAAAACAATGAAAATTCAAGAGGAATACAAAGAAAGAAAAAAAAGCTAAGGAGCGCAACAAAAAAAAAGAGAGAACAATAACGAAGAGATTGGTGTAAGGTAATGTGCTAGTAATCAGGGAACGCAAAGGTACAATCGGAAGAAATCTTTCAGGTAAGGGAGACAGAACCACATTTTATGAAGAAAGTAAAAGAAGGTTACAGCAGGATCGCCACTGGCTTCTATTCTGAGCCATATCTGATAACGTCTCTAGCCACTGTGTTCCACCATCTCTCGAACCCCAACCAGAGAGTCGTCAAGAACCAACACAAGCCAGTCCTTTGCAGCTTTCTTTCATGCCACGACACCATGTCATACACTGACCACCTCTCCGCTTCTTCCAACCAGTCCCAGAGTCGGCAAATAATGCACGACGTGGAATTCTCTGGGACGACATTCGGAGAACATGTCCAAACCACCGAAGTCGGTGTTTCAAGATGGTGACACCAATTGAATTATCATCTCTGTGCCCGAACACACGATGCCGAACCTCTGCATTACTGACATGGTGTTGCCACTGAATGTCAGCAATCCTTCGGAGACAGCGATGATCGAACACAGAGAGTCGTCTAACGTCCTCAACTCGGAGAGGCCAGGTTTCACAAGCATAGAGCAAAACTGCTCTCACCGACGCGTTGTAGATCCGACCTTTTACAGCCAAACTAACATCACAAAGGCGCCAAAGATGGCCCAGATTGGCATAAGCCGCTCTGGCTTTCACTATACGTGCATTGATCTCATCACTCACACCCCCACCAGCACTTATGCAGCTACCCAGATACACGAACTTCTCGACTACGTCTATCTGTTCATCATCCAGGGTGAGTACAGGATTGGAATCCTGCCAGTCTTGTAGGAGTACTTTGCACTTCGAAGGTGCAAAGCACATACCATACCTACGGACACTGATTGCCAACTGATTAAGTGCGGATTGCATGCCTTGGGCATTATCGCACAGTAAGACAATATCGTCCGCATACTCAAGGTCGAGAAGTCTTTCTCCAGGCAACAGATCCACACCACCATTACTTACATTCATCAGAGCTGTTTCCAGAATGTCATCGATGGCAAAGTTGAAGAGGAATGGTGAGATTGGGCAACCCTGCCTAACCCCACTACTCGAATGGAACAACGGAGAGAGGTGGTTGTATGCCCTCACTCTGCCTGAGGTGTTTTTACATAGGGCTTTTAGGATGTTAATAAATTTCTCAGGCACACCCTTCTTCAATAGACAATCCCAGAGAACAGTTCTGTCCAACGAATCGAAGGCAGCCCTGATGTCAAGAAACACTACGATTGTTGGCCTTTGATAAGTATGGCGATGTTCTAACATTTGGCGGAGGGTGAAGATATGATCAATACATCCTCGACCAGAACGAAACCCAGTCAATCTTTCTCGGGTTTTGAACAACCTACGAAGTATGACGGAAGCCAATAGCTTGGACGCAATCGGAAGTAGACTTATCCCCCGATAGTTGTTACAGGAACGACGTGAACCCTTTTTAAAGATAGGGACGACTATCGACTCATTCCATGTGCTATGTCCTCATATGCAATCTTTCTTTTACATATTACCACCACTGAATTAACTACTTCTATGAATTCGGTGTTCATCTTGTTGTGCTAATGAGGTGTGACAACTTGGACCGATGCACATATGTGCCTGGTCCTACGTTGTAGCTGACTGACTGACTGCTCGACCTCGGGTCATAATGCGTGTGAGCCAGTGATACATATTGCCTGGCTACTTGAGAAGTAAACATGTAAAGTGGAGTTTAAACCTCTAACTCAGTAGTTGAAAGTCAAGTGATTTAACTACTTAACTGCTATTGTTCAACTATTGCAGTTATCAAACAAATTTGGGATCAAATCCTAAATGAAATATTACAGATATATTCCAATACACACTAACCGTAGCAACCCATTTCAATATCGTCAACATTCATCCATGGCCAACGCGCAGACAGATCGTCTTTAGTTAGCAGTTCAACTTTTGCTCCTAGATCACTATAACAAATAGTAATTAGTAAGGAGACAAATAACAATAAAAGTGTACATCTGTAATAAATAATTCTCTTTTAACAAATCCACATTCTCAGCATTTGCTAACATTAAACAACCTTGAGGATTGAAACCAATATCTATGCTTTCTGTTGGATCTTAACTAAACAATTTATAAAATTACTCGTTTCAAACCTTCCACCGATAGATAATTTGAGACATTTCTCAAAAACCCGATTGAGAACAATGACATCTGTATATTTTCTGGTTCTGAAAATTGTTGTCGTATAGATCCTAGTCCAAGAACTGTGGCTGACTGACTATATGTAGGATCCTTTTCAACAACAGTGACAGAAAACTTTGAATCACGTCGGAGCCAAAAAGCTGTTGCCCAACCCATGATACCTCCACCGATAACTAGCACATCTGTGTTTCTCGGAACTTGATCTTCTCTGTCTAGGTATAAGATAAGGGAGAAATAGTATATTGACATGCATGTAATATGTGAAGTAGACCATTTTAAAGGTAGCCTTGTGTATATGCTTCTTTTTTGACTTTTGACAAGGCCAGAAGATACGGCATAGTTTAATCGATTTAATCCAAACTTCAGCATGTGATTTTCTAAAAACTATTAGAAAAGAATGGACTGCTTGAAGTTGTGATTAAGAAAACAAACGTTTACCATGAATAACAAAAAAAAACAACGTAATGTGTCAGGAATATCGAAACTTTAACGGGTTTTAGATCGAAGTTCATCATGATTTTTGATTTCTTTCTTAGATCTGTGAGGATAACTTAAGAGTCAAGAAGGCAATTTTGGTTGTGTTACTGTTATTAAACTGTAAGACTAAGTAAAGCTTTTTCGTATCAAGAGACATTAAAATAACAAGTTTGAAAGTACTAGAGATTTTTGTAATGGTCTTGAAAATCAACTACGCAGTTTTATGAAACTACTCAAGTGAATTGTTTCGCACCTAGTCAATTGGCCACTGAATTTTTCGTCGTTTTTCTGTATATCAGATCACGATCCTATCTGATTGGACTTAAATTGTTGATTTAGGTGAGTTTTCACATAACTTTCGTAACAACATACTACAAAAGAAACCAAAAGCAACATGAAGAGCAAGTAATCTAGGACGGGAACAACATTTTTGAGTGGTTGGTTTTAAAATAGGGGGAAGTAGTCTGAGCGAGAAAAAACAACAGGAAAAAGGGAATAGATGTGGGTCCATAATTACGGTTTCAGACTTACGTTGGTATTGTACCTCTCTCCTTTAAGGTTGGTAAAGTCATACTTAGTGTATGTGGTATGCATATATGGATACTGTGCAAGTTGCACAAGTATCTTCAATACTCCTTTCCACTGATGTAAAACATTTTCGAGGAATAACAGATGCGGATGCATGTGCAATTTAGGCGAACTTAGATGTTCTGGTTAGCTGTATTAGAAAACAGTTAATGGTCATCAACATAAAAGGTGTGTCTCCATGCCCTTTGAGGATACAAAGGTAAATAGGTACAGTATAGGGAAAGAGTCGAGACCCGAGGCTCGGTCACACAATGATTTTGCAGTAACAATGAGCCGTGGTCTTGCGACGACACCCCACGATCACGCAGTCGCAGTTAATAGGATTTAAGACCGAAATTTATTGCGCCGGATACTGATTTGTTCACAACAGTATACACAGTGTGGAGGGGAATAATATTTTGTTCAGGAAAGACTCATCATGCTTGACAAATCTGCTCATTGCAAGAGAAGATTGGGCTGCAGCGAAAGATAGCAATATCCCTGTAGATGTAATTTTCATAGATTCAAGTAAAGTCTTTGGCAAGGCTTCCCATTCGGGTCTTAAATTAAAACTAGAAAGTTTTGGAATCCATTATAAGGTTACAAACTGGATAATTGGCTTTCTCAGTAATAGGGGACAACGGACACGGGTAAATGGGGCTGTGTCAGTGTGGGAATCTGCAAAAAGCGGAGTTCCCCGATGTAAAATCCTCCGTCCTTTTCTTCTTTACTTTATGTAGATGACTTACCAATTGTAGCAAAGTGATTCGTTCTATTCTTTGAGGATAAAATAAAGATTTGGAGGTCCATACACAGACAGAATGATATTATGGGATGACTTAGATTCAATGATTGAGTGGATGAATAGATGGTCACTAGAAGTTAACTCCAACAAGAGTTTGGTGATGCAACTAAATAGCTGCGACGAATCATATCATTACACAGTACGTGGAGTTGTGTTACATAAAGTAAGCTGGGAGAATATATTCTCAGTGTCTTACCAGATGACTCTAAAGGAGTTCAGGTAAAAAAACTGGTTAGAATAGGCAAGAGGACTGAGGAAAATGTTGAACCCCGACCATGTAGACTCCTTAAGGTAATCTTAGGATCGGAGAAGCAACGGGATCTCCTGTTAAGTGGAGCTCGTTGTCACGACAATTCCGATATACGGGTTAGACCTGATATGTCTCTCGAAGATAGAATAAAAAGGAAGAAAGCACTAGCTGAACTAGAAACCTGTCGGCAAAACGGTGAGGAAAATCTCCGGCTAGTGGGTTTTCGGATACTCAGGTCTTGGAAGCGAATGCTATCAAGAACTGTGTGGACGGGCCGTTCTACTTAGGAGTTTTATATGCCAATGCTCGTAGTCTAAGAAATAAGTTCTATGAACTAAAAGCGTTGGTGGACAGATTAAAGCCACTCATCGCAGCAGTGACAGAAATTTGGTTAGTCCATGACTTAGACATTACACCAGAATTATTCGGATACCATTATCTCAGGAGTGATAGACATAGATGTAGAAAAGGTGGCGTCCTGTTATATATAACCAATAATATAAATATCCGCTCCTGTGCTAGCGAATCCCATGATAGCGGTAATTGTGAAATCATTAGCTGTAAATTAGCTATCGGATGTAGTACATTCATGCTCGATGTCATCTATCGCAGCCCGATCTGCTTAGCTGATGACTATATTTTAGAGCACATTCATCTTTGGAGTGCAAATACCAGATGCTTGATAACCGGAGACCTTAATGCGCCTGATATTAGTTGGACTGAGATGACCACGGAAGGATCTATAAACTCCTTTGATAGTAGGTTCCTGGTAACAATAATGGAGCATGCACTAGTGCAGCATGTATCCAAACTCACACGTTTTGGTGTTAACCAATGTTCTTCTCTGTTGGACTTGGTAATCACTCATGCGACTGAGGACATCGCAAATCTAAATATTCTTCCGCCATTAGTGAACAGCGATCACGCTGTTTTGTCATTCATGTTTAGAACTAGGGACATGTTATGCGATCAGGTTACACCCCGCCCAAATTTATGGAAAGCTAACATATCAGCCATTCAGAAATGCGCTGCTAAGACAGATTGGTTTGTAGATACTAGCTTATCAGTTGAAGAAGCATGGTCTGTATTTAACGGTAAGTTTAGTTTAGTTACGTCCTCGTTCATACCATACCTGGTACCGCGAAGACTGAATAACAGTTCACCATGGATAACGAAAACAGTCAGGAAACTTAGAAAAAAGAAGAAGCACTGGAATATGTTCATCCCTACTGGCTTAGAACAATACAGATCCAGTTATTGTAAGATTAGGAATGCCTGTAAAGCGTTAATTAATAAGACTAGACGATCATATGAAAAACAATTGGTTAGGGATTTTAGATATAGTCCGAAACGGTTATTCTCGTATTTAAAAAGGCGAACTCAGAAGAGCGATGGAATTCCATCACTTTTGGTACAAGAAAATCCGTTAGTCTTGGCAGAAAATGATGCCGAAAAAGCTGAAGCTTTATCGGAATATTTCAGTAAAGTGTTTTTCTATCGGTAATGAGGAACGATAAACGATTCATTGTGATCGTGGCGGCTCGCTGATGGACCCTGTAGTCATTGAGAAAGGTACTGTTTTAAGGCTATTTCAGCGTCTCAAACCTGATAAGTCCAGTGGTCTTGATGATATTCATCCTAGGATTATGAAAGCCATATCAGATGTAATTGCTGAACCATTAACGATCCTGTTTGACATGTCTCTAAGGCATTCCAGACAGCCCAGAGACTGGAAAGACGCTATAATAAGTCCGGTGTATAAGGCTGGGAGTAGGGATTTAGTTAGTAACTATAGGCCCGTTAGCTTAACTAGTGCAGCTGTAAAACTGATGGAAAAAAATCATCCGGATATGTTATAAACTATGCTGAAAGGCATAATCTTTTCTCCAGGGAACAACATGGTTTTCGGAGAGGCCTATCATGCTTGACAAATCTCATTGCAAGAGAAGATCGGGCTGCTGCAAAAGATCAGAATATTCCTGTGGATGTGATCTTTATAGATCTAAGTAAGGCCTTCGATAGTCTCCCACTCTGGTCTTGAATTCAAACTGGAACGTTTTGGAATCCATTATACAGTCGTAGATTGGATAAGTAACTTTCTGCATGACAGGAGACAAAGGGTAAGGGTAAATGGGTCTCTCTCCTCGTGAGTACCTGTAAAAAGTGGAGTTCCCCAAGGTACAATCCTCAGTCCTCTTCTCTTTTTACTTTATGTAAATGGATTACCAACTATAGAGAAATCACCCGTCCTACTCTTCGCTGATGACATAAAGATTTGGAGACCCATACACATTATGTCGGATAGGATAGTATTACAGAATTATCTTAGCTCATTGGTGGCATGGTTGGACAGGTGGTCACTAGAAGTAAATCCTAATAAGAGTGTAGTGATGCAAATAAATAACTATGATGAATCGTATCACTACATTATAGGTGGATTCGTGCTACTCAAAGTAAGAAACTATAAAGACTTAGGAGTCATATTAAGCAGTGATCTCAAAACCACTAGTCACTTTAAGGCTGCTGCTGCGAAAGGCTATAGGGTATAATGGTCTATTCGTAGGTCTTTCCTGTATTTAGATGATGAAATGTTTAGATTATTATACCCGATTTACGTCCGACTACATTTAGAATATGTGATTCAAGCAGCGAGTCCTTGTTTCAAGTATGAAGCAGATATGCTGGAAAGAGTCCAACGACGAGGTACTAAGATGGTACAAGGTCTATCTGACCTATCTTATCAAGACAGACTGAGACACCTCAACTTATTTCCGCTATCTTAACGTAGAGTAGGGGTGATCTAATATTGGCTTATCGTATACTGAACGATGACCTTGGTATTAACATGTCTTATCTTTTACTTCCGTCCAGGACTGATCACTTGAGAGGACATTCGAAGAAAGTTCGAAAACCGAGATCAAGTCGTCTACGTCTGGAATTTCGTTTCTCGCAACGAGTATTGGATTACTGGAATTATCCACCGGAACACGTAATATAAGCACCTTCCGTTGATATATTCAAAACGAGATTGGACCTCCACAGTATTACAAACTGCAAGGATTAGTATAAGTCGACAGACCTCCTATCCTTATTACTAAAGACTAATGGAATATAAAGATCTGGGAATCATAGTGAACTATATGTGGACAGCTTTGAGGACGTAGCCACAGAGTACAAAAGCAAGAAACAAACAAAATATCCAAAGTATGCAGGTTTTCACACAATCACCAACTCTCAGAACCTGTTACTTGGAGAAATAGCGTCCGCCCCTTCAATTAACTCATTCACAAGAAGACCAGATACTTTTAGAAGTATATGCTTCTAAATATATATTGATATGCTTCTAATATATATTAGAAAAGGATCCTAACAGAAGCTGTATGACTTTCATATAGTCATTGTGACCGTTACTAAAAAGGAGTAATTTAGTTGCTGAATGTATAGGGATTTAGGCATTTGAAGTTTGCAACGATATCGAAATTTTGTACACTTAATACACAAAACTGCAAATAAAAACCTTCAGAACTTACTGTTGCGCTACAGTTGGAACTCCGCCTGAGCCTTTTAGTGTGTTGTGGCGTTAAATAACGTGATCTGGTACAACAAATCGTAAACTATGAGTCTGTTCCTTTTTGAGATTCTATAAATCATTGCCCTATCTTAATTTTTTATACATTGGGATATTTTTTCGTGCTTTTTGGATATATATATATTTCCCTCGTTCATTATCGTACTTCATATTTCATCATGACTGAACAGACACCCAAAGTACTTAAGCTTAAGACTTTGTCCCCACCTTCGTTTCAACTGATGCTCTTCTGGCCAGACAACATCAAAGCCTGGTTCTGCTACGCAGAAGCCGACTTCTTCGAGCACGGCGTGATCGACACACGTGCACAATTCCTCTCAGTAGTCAAGGCACTACCGCGCGAATTCAACAGGTGCGTAACACCTAGTATGTTTACTGGTGATGTTTCTGAACCTTACAAAACGCTTAAACGTTCAATCCTTAAACGCAGAGACCTTACCGATAGACAAAGTTTAAACCACCTCTACAACAACATCGACCTGCAACACAGTTCAGCGACGGACATGTTGAAACGAATGAGAGAGGTTATCGGCCAAGGAACTTTCGATGATGGCCTATTCAAACAACTTGACATAACAGAGTAATGTCGTGCACTTACGCGTTATCTTAATTTTCGTAACGACCGTAAGCGATCGCACACCCCACGTAGAAGCATTTCACGTAAGCGATCTGTCTCTAGACCACGAGAGACGGATAATCCTGACTGGTGCTGGTATCATAACCAGTATGGAAAGTCTACCAGAAATTGCAGAAAACCCTGGAACTTTCCCAACTTAAAACCGAGCGACACGGAAAACAATTCGGGAAACTTCCAAGCCGGCACGCGTTAACGGCAACCGTAGGCAGCGAACATAGCCGTCTGTTATACGTCACAGATGTGGCAACGAGAGTTCGCTACCTCGTCGACACTGGCGCGGAAGTTAGCGTTCTCCCAGCGTATCCCGACGACCGGCTTTAAACTTACAGGCGGAAAACGGAAAGCCTATCTCTACGTATGTCAAAAGGTACGTCTACCTTAACGTGAGATTACGCAAACCCATTTACTGGATCTTCGTTGTCGCAGATGTTTCTGTGCCAATCATTGGTATGGACCTTCTACAACATGACAATCTGATCATCGATACTCGCTAACAGAGGCTAGTAGACGGAAACACTCATTTATCCGTTTGCGTAATTCTTTTTCTGTGTGCAGATTATCCCCAGTCACAATTAAGCATATGATAGACCCACTTTGTCAGCCACTTCTCGATAAGTATCCTGGAGTACACCAAACGCAACTGAAATTACCGTGTGTAACCAGCAATGTTACACATCACATCACGACTACAGGACCACCTGTATTTTCTAAGGCACGGCGACTAGCTAAGGTTGGCGATAGACGAGTTCGATCACATGATAGACTTAGGAATCATACGACCGTCAAACAGCACATGGGCATCTCCGTTGCACATGGTCCCTAAAAAGGACAGCAACGGTTGGCGTCCAACTGGTGACTATCGGCGATTGAATGCGAAAACCATCCCCGATCGTTACCCGTTGCCTCACATTCACGATTTGACAGCTACCTTGAAAGGTACAACTGTCTTTTCGAAAATCGACTTGGTTAAGGCGTATAACCAAATCCCTATGGCTACTGACGACATACCGAAAACAGCAACCATAACTTCCTTCGGACTCTATGAACTTTTGCGAGTGCCTTTCAGTCTAAGAAACGCTGCTCAAACATTCCAAAGATTCATAGACGACGTTTTTCGAGGTCTCAACTTCGTACACGCGTATGTTGACGACTGTCTGATTGCAAGTCCGGACAGAGCAACACATCTCAAGCATCTGGATCTTGTTTTCGACCGACTACAAAAACATGGCATTACTGTAAACGTTCAGAAATGCCAAATCGGAGCTGACTCATTAGACTTTCTGGGACACACTATAGATGCTCAAGGCATTCGACCTCTTAGGACCAAAGATGCGGCCATTCTGGATTACCCAGAGCCGACCACGATCAAGCGACTACGAACGTTTAACGGCCTTGTAAGTTTCTATAGACGATTCATACCTAAATGCGCTTTACTCATGAAACCTCTTACCGACCAACTTCGTGGAAATGTGAAATCCATTAATTTGGACAACACCACACAAAAAGCATTCTCCACAATTAAGGAACTCATCGCTAAAGCAACAATGCTTGCACATCAGGACACCCGAGCACCCATTAGTATCGCAGTAGCAACATCCGACTCAGCAATCGGAGGAGTCTTACAACAATGGGTTAACAACTGGCAACCTTTAGCATTTTTCTCTAGACGGTTGCTAGACTCCGAATCGAGGCACAGCACATTCAGTGGGGAACTTCTAGCTATGTATTGTGCTGTACGGCATTTTCAATACTATATCGAATGGCGTGAATTCACTCTTTTCACGGACCATAAACCGCTCACTTTCTCGTTAAGCTCTCCTTCTGACAAGTACTCTCCCCGTGAGTTTCGACAACTGGACTACATTTCGCAGTTTGCTTCAGACATCCAACACATTTCTGGAGAAAACAATGGAGTTGAAGGTGCCTTGTCTCGAATAACTTCCTTAAACAGTTTCTAAGGAATCCACCTTCTTAAACTCGCCCAGCTTCAAAAAGAAGACACTGATCTTCAGCACTAGTTGTCGTCCACAACACTCAAGCTACCCACAAGCAAACGGGTTGGTAGAACGCTTTCACCGACAACTAAAAGCTTCACTATCGGCTGCAAACACTTCTCAGTGGACTGACGCACTTCCACTCGTCTTACTAGGTATTCGCAATGCAATGGAAGCTGACATTGAATACTCTGCGGTTCAACTCGTTTATGGAACGACACTTCGATTTCCAGGAGAATTCGTGGATCCTTCATCCTCTTCAATGAGCATGGATCTAACCTCCTACACGAACAGGCTTACAAACGCAATGCGTTCAGTTAAACCTGATTCCACTCGACCTCAATCAACTGATGTTTTCGTTCAGCCTGACTTACCATATAGTACACACGTCTTCGTACATCGAGACTCGCATCGGCGACCTTTCGAATCAGCATACGATGGATCTTTCAAGGTTCTTCAACGCGACTCTAGGTACTATATAATCGATAAGAACGGAACCAACGATAGCATCAGCATCGATCGCCTGAAAGCAGCGTACTTAGAAGGAAATCCTATCCACTTCGATTTTCCTTCGGTACAATCGAACGACACGACTCCGGCGTTTATAATACCTCAACCGACAACCAACACGCACGATGATACTTCGACAGTATCTGAAAATAAATTTAAAACAACGCGTTCTGGAAGAAGGGTAAGATTTCCAGAACATTTAAATGACTATTGCACGTAAGACGTTAGTTAACATTTCGTTTCATCTCGGTTTTCCATGGCATTATATATAATATAAAAATTTTTTAATATGCTCATATTTATATATATTTATCATTTGGCTAATATGTATATTAAAATGATTAAAAAAAACAAAAAACATTTTGTCAAAATAGTTTTCACGTTATTAACCTTTTTTCGCTCATTTAGTGTCTTAAAGCGAGTACGAGTTTATTTCGACATGCACGTGCATATTCTTTTTTTCTCTTCCAGGACGGCTGGAAAATACGATAAAAAGAACGATGAGGTTTACGAGGAACCAAAATTTTCATTGTATATTGTTTTCTTACTATATTGTATTTCATGGTCCCTTATGGTAAGGAAAGACGACCAGACGCTGCTAAACCTAGCAAGCTATCGGAAGAGTGTTCACCAACGACGAAACTTGTTGGGTTTAAACTTCTGGCTGGCCACGTCTTAGGGTCATCACTACTCCACTAGGGAGGGAGTGGTTTGTGGCGGTAAATAAATCCTCAAAATAAATAGCTCTGTTAGTTTTCGACATTGGATGCTGGCCACATTAGTTCCAACGTACTCAACTAGCTGAAGGCGCTCGGTCATGCATCCGCACCAGATCACGTGTGGGAACGCCGTGCTCAACAACCCTTGCAATCGCTAGTCAGTCTGTGTCAGTCGATCCTCGATATATTAAATATATCTTCTAACCTCCTCGCTCCTGTCTTTTGACTTCATTTGGTGGGAGCGAGTTATATTAGGTGTTACTGGTTAAAGCGTTGTCGAACTCCAAATACCTGTGGCATCTTCTTAGTCTTCAGTTATAAGGATAGGTCTATTGACCTATATTATTCTCTGCAATTTCTAACTCAGTAGAGGTCCAATCTCGTTTTGAATATATCAACAGAAGGTGTTGGTTTTGCGTGTTCCGGTAGAGATTTTTCGTCATTCATTACTTGGTCAGAGAAACAACACTCCATATGTAGACACTTTGATCTCAGTTTTTGAATATCGTCTCAAACGATCAGTTGTAGATGGAAGAAAGGGATAAGAAAAGTTGATACCAAGAACATCGTTCAGTGTTTAATCAATCCACAACCTGCGGTGATAGGCTGTAGTGACCTACTTTTATGAAGAGAACGAGACTGGCGTAATGGAAACATTTATTATTATAACCAACTGTACCAGTGATTGTTTTACTGTACCTGCTTGTTTAAATATACCAAAAACCCTCTTTTCAGTTGTCTGTGACTTGGCACGACCTCTCGCACGCTCTGTAGTTTCGCCCGTAGGTTTTGGCACGATCCCGGTATTATTTCGATTCCACGAGATCGCCAACAAATACGTCTTAACTACAACCTTCAACTGCCGTCAGATATTTGGCCTACGGAAGGGTCTAGCCTGTAACTGGCACGTAGTCTTTCTGTAGTGGTGATCATAATCAGCAGCGACTCGACGCCTACTACAAGATTGAGGTAGATTAGAGGGACATTTACCATTTCGTTCACTTGCTATTCAACTTACTCTAGCACATCCACCTGATACCTGAAACAAAGACTGACCGACTGAATCTCATATTTCAATTGTAACCTCACGAAAGCCAGGTATAATACCTAAAAATTTCTTTATCCAAGTGCTAAGACAGCTTACGAGTAGCCCATATTCCCCGAATAATTTGGCAGCAACAGCTTTGTAGTTACCCGTAGATTTGAGGTTTCTGTTTGTTATGAGTCCCAGATCTTTATATTCCATTACTTCATGTAACACAACTCCACGTACTGTGTAATGATATGATTCGTCGCAGCTATTTAGTTGCATCACCAAACTCTTGTTGGAGTTGACTTCTAGTGACCATCTATTCATCCACTCAATCATTGAATCTAAGTCATCCCATAATATCATTCTGTCTGTGTATGGACCTCCAAATCTTTATTTTATCCTCAAAGAATAGAACGAATCACTTTGCTACAATTGGTAAGTCATCTACATAAAGTAAAGAAGAAAAGGACGGAGGATTTTACATCGGGGAACTCCGCTTTTTGCAGATTCCCACACTGACACAGCCCCATTTACCCGTGTCCGTTGTCCCCTATTACTGAGAAAGCCAATTATCCAGTTTGTAACCTTATAATGGATTCCAAAACTTTCTAGTTTTAATTTAAGACCCGAATGGGAAGCCTTGCCAAAGACTTTACTTGGATCTATGAAAATTACATCTACAGGGATATTGCTATCTTTCGCTGCAGCCCAATCTTCTCTTGCAATGAGCAGATTTGTCAAGCATGATGAGTCTTTCCTGAACAAAATATTATTCCCCTCCACACTGTGTATACTGTTGTGAACAAATCAGTATCCGGCGCAATAAATTTCGGTCTTAAATCCTATTAACTGCGACTGCGTGATCGTGGGGTGTCGTCGCAAGACCACGGCTCATTGTTACTGCAAAATCATTGTGTGACCGAGCCTCGGGTCTCGACTCTTTCCCTATACTGTACCTATTTACCTTTGTATCCTCAAAGGGCATGGAGACACACCTTTTATGTTGATGACCATTAACTGTTTTCTAATACAGCTAACCAGAACATCTAAGTTCGCCTAAATTGCACATGCATCCGCATCTGTTATTCCTCGAAAATGTTTTACATCAGTGGAAAGGAGTATTGAAGATACTTGTGCAACTTGCACAGTATCCATATATGCATACCACATACACTAAGTATGACTTTACCAACCTTAAAGGAGAGAGGTACAATACCAACGTAAGTCTGAAACCGTAATTATGGACCCACATCTATTCCCTTTTTCCTGTTGTTTTTTCTCGCTCAGACTACTTCCCCCTATTTTAAAACCAACCACTCAAAAATGTTGTTCCCGTCCTAGATTACTTGCTCTTCATGTTGCTTTTGGTTTCTTTTGTAGTATGTTGTTACGAAAGTTATGTGAAAACTCACCTAAATCAACAATTTAAGTCCAATCAGATAGGATCGTGATCTGATATACAGAAAAACGACGAAAAATTCAGTGGCCAATTGACTAGGTGCGAAACAATTCACTTGAGTAGTTTCATAAAACTGCGTAGTTGATTTTCAAGACCATTACAAAAATCTCTAGTACTTTCAAACTTGTTATTTTAATGTCTCTTGATACGAAAAAGCTTTACTTAGTCTTACAGTTTAATAACAGTAACACAACCAAAATTGCCTTCTTGACTCTTAAGTTATCCTCACAGATCTAAGAAAGAAATCAAAAATCATGATGAACTTCGATCTAAAACCCGTTAAAGTTTCGATATTCCTGACACATTACGTTGTTTTTTTTTGTTATTCATGGTAAACGTTTGTTTTCTTAATCACAACTTCAAGCAGTCCATTCTTTTCTAATAGTTTTTAGAAAATCACATGCTGAAGTTTGGATTAAATCGATTAGACTATGCCGTATCTTCTGGCCTTGTCAAAAGTCAAAAAAGAAGCATATACACAAGGCTACCTTTAAAATGGTCTACTTCACATATTACATGCATGTCAATATACTATTTCTCCCTTATCTTATACCTAGATAAAGAAGAAAAGGACGGAGGATTTTACATCGGGGAACTCCGCTTTTTGCAGATTCCCACACTGACACAGCCCCATTTACCCGTGTCCGTTGTCCCCTATTACTGAGAAAGCCAATTATCCAGTTTGTAACCTTATAATGGATTCCAAAACTTTCTAGTTTTAATTTAAGACCCGAATGGGAAGCCTTGCCAAAGACTTTACTTGGATCTATGAAAATTACATCTACAGGGATATTGCTATCTTTCGCTGCAGCCCAATCTTCTCTTGCAATGAGCAGATTTGTCAAGCATGATAAGTCTTCCCTAAAACCATGTTGTTCCCTGAACAAAGGTTTTTCCCTTCCATATGGTTTATAATAGACATCCGAACAATCCTTTTGATTACTGTAATATTTGTGCAGGTTGCATTGAGTGGTCAATACTTACTAATTAAGTCTGTGCTCCCTGCCTTATGCATCTGAGCATTTATTGTCTCTTTACAGACTCTTTTCATTGTGGACTGCCTCACATTCATCTCAAACAGTATGGATATAGTTTCAGCAATTACATCCTATTGGATTTCATAATGAGTATCGTCAGGATCACTGAACGTATCAGGTTTGAGATGTTGAAGTAGTCTTGCGACAGTAACGTTCTGAATAACTACAGAATCCGTCCAATAGCAGCCCCGACCAAAATTAATCGTTGTTCGTTCTACACTGCTGATAAAAAACGTTTCACTGAAATATTCCTAAAAAGCTTTACCTTTCTCAGCATCATCTCTTGCCAGAAAAAACACGGATTTTCTCTTACCAAAAATGATGGGATTCAGTTTTTTTCTTTGAGTTCGCCTCCCTATGTACGGACTATTTCTGCAATTCCTAACCAAGTGTTTTTCATATGACTGTTTATTAACGCTTAACAAGTATTCATAATCTTACAGTAACTGGAACTGTACTGTTCTAAGCCAGTATGAATGAGCATATTTCAATACCCTTTTTCATGTCTAAGAAGCCTTTTGACATGTTTAGTTATCCATGGTAAACAGTTATCCGGTCTACGTGATACTAGGCATGGTATAAACGAGGACGTAACCGAACTAAGCTTACCTTTAAATTTAGACCATGGTTCTTCAACTGATGAGCTGATATCCGCTGACCAATATGTTTTAGCAGCACACTCCTGAATGACTGATATGTTAGCTCTCGATACATTTGGGTGAGGCTTAACCTGATCAAATATCATGTCAGTAGCTCTAAACGTCAATGAAATAACAGCGTGGTCGCTGGCGGTGGAAGAATATTTAGATTTGCAATGTCCTCAGTCGCATGAGTGATTACCAAGTATAATTAGGAAGAATCTTGGTTTGAACCAAAACGTGTGGGTTTGGATACATGCTGTACTAATGTATGTTTCATTACCACCATCAAATGAGTTTATAAATCCTTCCGTGGTTATCTCAGTCCAACCAATATCAAGTTCATTGAAGTCTTCTAATATCAAACACTTGTCATTTGCACTTCATAGGTGAATGTGCACTAAAATAAAATCATCAACTAAGCAAATGAGGCTGCGATAGATTACACCGAGTATAAATGTACAACATCCGATAGTGAGCTTACAGTTAATGATTTCACAAGTTCCACTATCAAGGGATTTGCAAGCAAAGGAGCCGATGTTTATATTATTGGTTATGTATAAAAGGATGTCACCTCATTTTCTACATCTATGCATAGGTAGTGTTATCCGGATAATTCTGGAGTAATGTTGGAGTCGTGGACTAACCAAGTTTCCTTTACAACTACAATGAATGGACTCAATTTGTCCACTTATTCACCTAGTTCATAGAATTTGTTTCTTGAAATACGAGTATTCGTATATAAAACTCATAGGAATAACTAGCCGTCCACACAGGCCTTGATAGCCTCCGCTTTCAGGATCTGACCATTCGGAAATCCACTGGGAGAAGATTTTCCACAACAATTTGTCGACGGTTTTCTAGTTCAGCTAGTGCCGCTTTCCTTCTCATTCTATCTTCTAGGGGCATATCAGGTCTTAATCGTATGTTAGTATTGTTGAAACTACTAGCGCTACCTAACAGGAGATAATGTTGCTTCTCTAACCTTAGTGCTACCTTAAGGAGTCTATGTGGTCGGTCCTCTTACATATCCTTATCAATTTTTGACATGAGCTCTTCTGTAGTTATCTGGCAAAATGCTATGAATAAATTCTCCGAGATTTTTAAAATTACGAGTGTATCTAGTTTTGTGATTAGGGTCCTTTGATTTTAGCAAATTACTTAAGATAATATTAAATGACATTAAGTTTATCTCAGTCACGGTTGGATGGAGTTCTGTCTTACTTTCAGACTTTGGTAGTGTATTTCGTGATTCAGAATAGGAGCCCATCAATAACTTGCCAATCAAGTGATCGCCGCTTATGGTTTTTTCTTTCACTTTTTTGTTTCCATATTGCCACCCAGATTTCATCACTCAGGACAGCCACACCGTCTTCGGGACAGACTACTTCGAGGTGTCAGACAATCTTACCAAGCACCATATACAATAATCAAGGTTGACAAACTTTTGAGTGTACCAACAGGCAACATAGTAGTTATAAGGCTGCTCCGCCCCCTCCCCGTTTTGCAGTCGTTGATAAACAAAGACATGCCGGGTATTGTTGGCTCGTCATCAGTAATTCAAGAAAATTCCCATGTTTCTACCACAAAGGTTGTAACGGAAAGAAAACGATGAGAATCCTCCTGTCATTTATTTGTTCCTTCACCTTGTTGTGTATTTTAACCTTTGCTCCGATCTCGTTTTATCGTATCTTTTGTTCTTCAGTCTTCCTCGTCTTGGCCCTAATTATGTGATTTTGATTAAAGACATATCCTTTGTTACCTAATTTTCTATTGCATGTTGCCGGACCATTGACAGTAAGGTCGTGTTTGACAACTTCAGATCATCAACACAGATGATGTATGTCGAGTGATTGGGGTCCACTCGAGTTGGAAGGGAATGGTGTGACCAATAGCTAACTTCAAAGTCACACCTCGTGGCCAGCACCTAACGTGGACTAACTTTCGTCGTATCAAGGTACTATGGCTGCTTTGATGACCGTACAACACAAAGGACATTATTACAGTAATGTAATAGTAAAAGTAGGTACAAAGAAGAAGTTGCAACCAACACCGCATGGGCCAGTTCATGGTGTGCAATTAACTAATGCGCGTTGCCTGTTCCTGAAGTTGAGAAGGATCAGTGAACTGTTCAACATTCAGTGACATGATTGCCGGATAGTTGGCAAGGACCCACTGACATTTCACTAGTCCTACACAACTATGAGTATATATTTGATTAAGATAAACAAGCAATTTACCAGAAATCTCAAACCATCAAAATTCAAGTTCATTTACTGCTTCATAATTAAGACACGGAGCTTCAAAATCGTGTAATGGGAATAGAGATATCTGTATCCGTTTTCTTTCAAGATTCGTATGGTATTTAATACAGACATGGAAATAATTGTATACCCGTCTTGAAATACAATGTCGAACCGAGCATGTGACTGCCAAATGCATTAGTTCAATTGTGTTGGTTAGTTTGTGCCCAGTTGTGTGATAAATTTAAATGACTAACATGTAAGTCTTTCCAATATTCCTTTTTCTGGTTGGTTGTCCTATCCATCTATTTGCTAATCGTGATCCATTACTACATTGATGCATAAATACTTCAAACACACTGACTAATCGACATTGGACATTTTGTATTCATATTAATGCATTACAAATTCAACTGGTCTGACTCAACCTTAGATTTATTTCGCTACAGAACGATTTCTGGATATTGAATTGCCAGTGTTATTTCTAATTAAATATAGTTATTGGCAATTCTAAGTGTCAGTGTCAATATAAATCTCATTCAGTTACGAAGTAGTTTAATTCTGGTGTTAATTCAATACTAGTATTATTCCAGTCTAGTTGTGTCCGTTCAGTCCAATTGTACTTCGCTTCTACTATATATACTAGTAAATTCAATTACATTAATATGTATTCAAGAACATTTGTATTATAGTTCTTACTTAATCCATATAGCCTCGGATATCGATTATAACGATAAAGAACGCAACATGTAAGTATGTTGATCCCAGAAATTGATCGGTCGAGTAACTGAATATGAAGTCGGTATCCAAAGTTGCACTTGGTGTATTTTTATAAGCCTAACCATAAAATCTTTAACTTTCTTTAACTCTGACTAACTGTTTGGTGGTATTTCACTCTCTTTCGACATTCAACGTTGTAGCACCCTACATGACTGATTAGTAACTGGAGATTTTCATATGGCAATGACACATTCATTCTAGAAAGACAGGTTTTCCATCAGGATATATATATATATATATATATATATATATATATATATATATATATAATATGCATGTGATTCTACAATTAATCATAATTTTTTAAATTTGAGCTTACATTCAAGGTTGTAAGACAACAAAAAACAGTCAACCGTAAACTAGTCAAACATAAAATTGATGGGTTCAAAACAGCTAAGTAAAAATATGTTTCAACCAATAAGGGCATAGCCAGTTTCTCGATAATTAATTTAACCAGTGAGATACAAAAAATATGGATGAAGCCTGATTACTAATAAGTAATCTAGTCATAAAACAAGAATTTAACCCATAGTTTCTACTTTTTTTATGACTGGGACCACTGGTAACGTTTTTTACTGGACGATGCCAGATTTAATCCCATGTAGATTAATCTTGTTGATGAGCGTAAACTAAGCTTTGTGTCAGCTGATTCCAAAATCATAACATCAAACAAATGTACTTCTATGCCGTATCCATTCCAACTGATAATTATTACTAATGGCTAGATTAAAATAATATTATTTATTACTGAGTAACTAAGTAGAGGAAATGATGAGATTATAATTTATGGACAAACTAATCACATTTGGGATAACAGATCTTGAATTTCGGTGTGAAATTCATTCATTCATTTGATAAAATAGCGTTTTGACATTTTAGCTTATGTCAGTTTGTGATTATAACCCTAAATCTAATTCCTAACCATAACCATCAATTGTATATCAAAATCCTTACTCTTCACATATGTTTATAAAGTTCATTTAGCCTTAGTAAGTCGGGTGACATTCTCAAGGTCATTTTAACGTCACTCAAAGGTTACCCATAAATTATAGTCTCACCAAAGAAAATATCAAAAGGAATTTTGTAGAGATTTTAGTAATTCCAACAGTTGAAATCATGAGTCAGTTGAAGCTAGACCACTATGGAAAACCTGGAAACACTGGACGGCCGTTTCGTCCTATTATAGGATTCCTCAACAGTGCTCATCCACGATCCCAGCCCCCGTGAGATTCGAACCCGGGACCTATCAGTCTCGCGCACGAGCGCTCCACAAAACTCCTGATATTAATCATCTACTCATTAGTGACTGACTTCAAGAAGCATTTCCTGGAGTTCTAGTGAGAAGCCGTAACCAGTGGAGTTCAACTAGGTCTGTTGTGAGATATCAGCTCACTGAAGACAATGATGTACGGTGGCGCGATTTCTTGGATTGGTTGAAGTTAGACATTAACACCGTTGGATACCAGCTCAGTGGTCCAATAATTAAGCGCCCGGGATCGTGGATGCGCACTGTTGGGGAGTCCCACGATAGGACGAAGTGGCCGTCCAGAGTTTCCAGGTTTTCCATGATGGTCTAGCTTCAATTGACTCATGATTTCAACTATTAAAAGAAATTATATTTATCACGTTTAATAAAATTAATAGAATAAGATAAGCAACTGTAAGTATAGAAAATATCGCTTAGAATTAAAATCGAATATAATTAACTAATGTGTTCTTTATTTGCCTATATAATGATAATCATAATGATTTATTCATTTTATAATTAATAAATTTGTTTATCTTACTATTATTAGATTATCAATGAATATTAACGTTATAATTTGATACACCGATTGTAATTTGATTATGTTCATTTGTATTGAGTTTATTACTAACTTGATAGGTAAATAAACCTCGTCTTGTTTTCTTTCCTTTTTTTTTTGTAAAACAAATACGAGATTTGTGTAAATATAGAAAATAGAGAAAGAAAAAGAGAGAACTATTTCAAAATAACAATCTATAAAAATTTATTTATATAAAGAGATGAAATAATTTGAAACTTTTATAATAGAAAAACAAAACACAACATGTATGCGATTATCCTAATTTATGCTTTATATTTCATTACTAATGGAAAGTGTAAGTTGACTTTATAATTGATGACATGGTTATAGTTATTGTTTTGTTTTCCTACATTCTAACTTTTTCGATGAGGCTATAATTTATTGGATGAACTAATTAGATTTAGGATAATAGGTCTTGAATTTTGGTACGAAATTCATTCATCCTTTTTCTTGTTGACCAATCAACATCGAGGTGCACATAACAAGCTGTGAAACACATATGGAGAAATTCGAACACTTCACTTCTATCTGAAGTTTGTGCTGATGATGTCGTTCAGAAGAACGATGAAAGCTCCACGACCAAACCATCCAGCTCAGAGAACAAAACTCCACCAAAATCATTCACCTGAGCTACAAATCTTTTCCACCATCTCAAAATTCATTCATCCATTTGGCTAAATAGCATCTTGGCATTATAGCTAATGCCAGTTCGTAATGAAAACCTTAAATCTAATTCCTAACCTTAACCATCAATTGTAAATCATAATCTTTTAGTGGCCCGTGGATCTGACTCTTATTTAGATCGTACGAATGTTTGTTATCGCTTATTCTCGTATATAATCGTCGACTTGAATCGCGTTAGTCAATAACAGAATTAAATAAGTCAAATAACGAGAATTGACTTGTGAATACATATATTTTGCATATGAAACGAATGAAACAGAGCACAGCAAAATGACACGCAGGGAAGATGACTGGGAAGCCAACTCCATTTTAGTCAAGCGAGACTTAATATTTATAGGCAGACAAAATAAACTACAGACATGTGATGAGTCATGGGATATGCTGTGTGCACACATATACGCTCATATAAAAACAGTCAAGAGTGATAAGCGAATAATTGACAAGGTCAAAATATGACTCAGGTAGAATGAATAGAATGGAATGTCCGAAAGCTAGAATAAGATACATTGGCTTAAAATAATGACTGACACTACAATGTTTATTCTTTAAACTGCTTTACAACTCTCATTTAATTCTAGTAAGTAGGTAGACACTGTCAAGGTCACTTTAGCGTCGATCAAAGGTCATCCATAAATTATAGTCTCAACCTACATTTTAAAGAAAAAAACATTTAACGGTTACAACTAATTTTTGTTATAAATAAAGTAATCGTTTGTTTATTCAATTTGGTCATTTGTGAAGATGATTTCATTTATAGAATTAACTTTAAAACAAAAAGAAAGCTCAATCGAATGTATTTCGTCTCTTCATATTTTGATCGTGGAAACTGGAAGTTTTAAGTATTTACTGAAAGTACTTAAAGCATCTATCATCTCTTTATCTTCTATTGGAAAACATTCTCCTACTACTATTAATTTTCTTTTTATTTATTAACGAGTAAGGATTTAAGTGCTTATTACAGTTTTCTTAAATGTAAAAATAAATAGTTGAGGTTATGAGTCAATTGAAGCTAGACCACCATGGAAAACCTGGAGGCACTGGACGGCCGTTTCACTCTACTATGGGACTTCTCAACAGTGCTTCTAGATTTTCCATGGTGCTTTAGCTTTAAATGACTCATAATCTCAACTATCAAAATTATTTTAATATCCACAAAACCCCTTCTGATAGTAAAAACAAATGTCAAAAAGAAAACGACTTACTTACTTACGCCTGTTACTCCTCGTGAAGGAGCATAGGCCGCTCACCAGCATTCTCCATCCAACCCTGTCCTGGGCAATCCTTTCTAGCTCCGTCCAGTTGTAATTCATCCTTTTCATATCTGCTTCTATTATCCGACGCAATGTGTTCTTTGGCCTTCTTCTTTTTCGCTTCCCCTCGGGATTCCAAGTTAGGGCTTGCCTCGTGATGCAGTTTGACGATTTGCGTAATGTATGTCCTATCCATTTCCATCGTCTTTTCCTAATTTCTTCTTCAGCTGGAAGTTGGTTTGTTCTCTCCCACAGAAGGCTATTGCTGATGGTATCCGGCCAATGGATGTTGAGTATCTTGCGTAGACAGTTATTTATAAATACTTGTACTTTCTTGATTGTGGTTGTTGTAGTTCTCCAAGTTTCAGCTCCATACAGTAGAACTGCCTTGACGTTCGTATTGAAGATTCTCACTTTGATATTGGTTGAAAGTTGTTTTGAGTTCCATATGTTCTTCAATTGTAGGAATGCGACCCTTGCTTTGCCGATCCTCGCCTTTACGTCTGAATCGGATCCTCCTTGTTCATCGATGATGCTTCCCAGATATGTGAAGGATTCTACATCTTCCAGAGTTTCGCCATCAAGTGTGATTGGATTGCTGTTCTCCGCTTTGAATTTGAGGACCTTAGTTTTTCCTTTGTGTATGCTGAGGCCTACTGATGCAGAGACTGCTGCTACACTGGCTGTCTTCATCTGCATCTGTTCGTGTGTACGTGATAGGAGGGCTAGGTCATCTGCGAAGTCCAAATCGTCTAATTGATTCTTAGCTGTCCATTGTATTCCGTGTTTTCCTTCAGATGTCGAGGTCTTCATAATCCAGTCGACCACCAGAAGAAAGAGGAAGGGAGAGAGTAAACAGCCTTGTCTGACTCCGGTCCTTACTTGGAATGCATCTGTCAGCTGTCCTCCATGCACTACTTTGCACTGTAGTCCGTCGTATGAGTTCCGGATAATATTGACAATCTTCTCAGGAATTCCGTAGTGTCGAAGAAGTTTCCATAACGTCCTCCTGTCTACACTGTCGAATGCCTTTTCATAATCAATGAAGTTGATGTATAGTGACGAGTTCCACTCAACTGATTGTTCGACGATGATCCGTAGTGTTGCAATTTGGTCTGTGCACGACCGATCCTTACGGAATCCAGCTTGTTGATCTCGAAGTTGGGCGTCTACTGCATCCTTCATCCGGTTCAGCAACACTCTGTTGAAGACTTTCCCTGGTATTGACAGTAGTGTTATGCCTCTGTAGTTTTCACATTTGCTCAGATCTCCTTTCTTTGGAATCTTGACGAGGTGTCCTTCTTTCCAGTCCATCGGCACTTGTTCCTCCTCCCAAATCTTTTTGAATAGAAGATAAAGCATGCTTGTGGTTGCTTCGATGTCTGATTTCAGTGCTTCAGCTGGTATGTTGTCGGGTCCTGCTGCTTTCCCGTTCTTGATTTGTCTGAAGGCCATTCTAATTTCTTCCGTAGTTGGTGGATTGACATCTATAGGAAGATCTATGTGTGCTGCTTCGATGTCCGGTGGATTCATTGGAGCCGGCCTATTCAGGAGTTCCTCGAAGTATTCTACCCATCTGTTACGTTGTTGTTGAATTTCGGTGATTGGCTTGCCTTCTTTGTCTTTGACCGGCCTCTCTGGTTTACTGTATTTCCCTGATAGTTTCCTCGTTGTATCGTGAAGCTGTTTCATATTTCCTTCTCTAGCAGCTTTTTCTGCCGTCGTTGCTAGTTCTTCAACGTATTTCTTCCTGTCGGCTCTAATGCTCCTCTTCACTTGTTTGTTTGCTTCTATGTATTCAGCTTGTGCTTGGACTTTCTCTGCTCGTGTTCGGCTGTTGTTTATTGCTGCCTTCTTGTTCTTCCTTTCTTTGATCTTGTCCAGTGTTTCTGTAGAGATCCATTCCTTATGATGGTATTTCTTTAGACCGAGAACCTCTTGACACGTTGAAGTTAATGCTTCCTTGATGCCTTTCCAGTTGTCCTCCATAGTAGTTTCTTCTTCTTTCAGGAAACGAACAAAACATATATTCAAAAGTTTCTATACAATTTCACTCGATAGTTTAATTTTATGAAGAGTATGATTTTTACTTCATTTATTAACCATTCGTTTTTCAGTTATAAATAATCTTTAAGAAAAAGAAATAAGTAGTACAAATTAATGAACAGTTGTCTAGTGGTTGAGCGCCCGTGCGCGAGACTGGTAGATCATCGGTTCGAATCCCGCGAGGCGGTGTTGTGGATGCGCACTGCTGAGGAGTCCCACAATAGGACGAAACGGTCGTTCATGTGTTTCCAGGTTTTCTATGGTGATCTAGATTCAATCGACTCATGATCTCAACTATTGAAAAGAAGTCCATAAAATAATTGTCTAATTCAATAATACAATATAAATTTAATCAACATAAACATTGTAGAAAGTGAAAACAGTGAATTATGAAACCAAAGATAATATCTATTTATTCATTGTGTAAATTAAGGCTAAAATTCGTTTTTAACTGTCCGTTATGGATATACCCATTATACTGTTATCCAACATCCTGAACAAAAAAAAACTCAAACCTAATAAAAATTGGAGTTTAAAATGAAATCTTTAATGAAGGTTACATTCTGATCTGTAGCGTTCACTCTCTAAACAGATATGAAAAATGACCAGTGTTAGGTATAATAAACACAGTGACGATTGATAACGTTGTGGATGAAATCAACATTTAGACTATATTAATGACATCTAGTTGAATGATATAAAAAAGGTAGGATAATTAAGTTTTGCTTAAGTGTGAGTAGATATAAAATGACCCAGTGTTTACTAAACCTTCTAATTTTAATTTAACACGAATCTTTCCTTCTCATTTTTGAAAGCTTCAGTTTTAAATAATGCAAATGCTTATTCACAAAGTAAACCCCTTAAGTAACTATATTGTCTATTACACAATATTATAATGTTAACAGTGAAGATGATATTGTTCTGACCTTGGATGTCTGTTTTTCTATCACACGATTTATCTACCAATCCGAATACGACTTATACGAATCTTCACACTAGGCCAACCAATGACGTCCAACCAGTGTGGGCAGTTTAGCGTACTTATTGGTCCTACGTCCTCCAAGCCCTTCCACTTGAGTCCAGAACACAATAACAGCTTCGAATCAGAGCAGATCGTTTATTCCAGACATACCCGGTTTATATATCAGTCAGACAGACGGCAACGTACCATAAAGTAGGAAATAACATTTGTACACAAATAAGCCCAAAAAGTGGCTGTGAATGTGGGAGGCAGTAGTTAATAAAGTGAACATAACGTAAGAACCGTAAATCGTACAATAAATTATAGGTCAAAATAAAGCTTATCATAAAAGGAATATAAATATACATAGTGTAATTGTTGAGTAGTTATACAATAAGAATATTTATAGAATATTAGTCCATGAATAGTCCTCGGAAGTTACCTGTAATTTAATCTTCACCGGATATAACAGATATAGTCAGATTGTAGTTTTATTTATTGTTATACTTTTGTATGACTTTCAAATGGAATTATTATTTTGTTAGTTGAACATGTATCAGCAAGAATCGTGAAGTCAGACAAATTATCAGGTGGGTAAATTGTTCAATAGTTTGACACGTATAGTATAGATTTAATTTTCACTAATCTCATCAGTATAATTTTATTAGAAAGTATTGCAAGTTATAATGGTAATGAATTTTGAGGAAGTTAAGGCAACTATTACAACCACAATTAAACATTATTCAACAAAAACCATTCTGCATTTTCCTTGTATCCAACATATGATTTGTGTTTATACGAATATTTGTCAATATTAGAACGAATAATTTGACAAAAATTGGGCGCCGAGTATAGAGAAGTCATTATATGTGAAAATTATATTTGAAATAATCTCAGCGATTGAAAGTTAAATCATTCCAACGTTTTGCCCAGCTAACTTGTCTGGACTTCTTCAGAGCAATAATCAAAATCAAAATCATCAAAGAAATGTATAGCTTTTAACAATCAAAACTATACTGTGTTAAACCAAACATATTTGGATGTTGAGTTTTATAAAATAGAATAACATGAGTCTTATGTTTTTCTTTCCAGATTCATCTGCTTCAAAGATCCTTACCTTGAAAAATTTGACAGATCCTAGTAAGTATAATACGTTTTACAAGATTATCATTGAAAATGGATGGGTAAATGACAAGAATTCGTAATTTATTGGTGATCAATTCCGAGATACTTCCTAGAGATTGCTAAATTTTTATTTTAATTAAGGTTTCTTTTCGGTTTATTTGGGATTGTTGATGCTTTTGTTTATATGTACTGTGAGATTGTCTTTTCGTACAGTGTTCTCTCAGAGATTTTATCTTCAGATTTGTGCTAAAAGCTTAATAGAAACAAATTGGTTTATCGAGATTAACCAGTATATTTAATCTCCGAGATATAATATTTAGACAAATGGTGTAAATATTATATTTGACCATAATGGTGTGTTATATAAATTGTAAATTCACAAATTTTCTATATGACAATTAAAACAACGTTAATCAAGATACAATTATGTTATTTTTATAGGTTTATTATTTATTTATTTAAACACATAAACATTGGTACATGGAGGCACCAAATAGATATGCACCACATAAATCATTCGATTTGTGTGAGGGATAAGATACTGGCTGGGTGCCCAATTTCAAGCAGGTGGTTTTCTTAGGGGGCCACACCCAAAGCCTTCGACCTGAAAGTCTGACCCACAAGGCAGTGGAGCAACGTCAGGAGTTACAATCCCATGGTAGCCGGTGACCAAAGATTAGTTCACACGCCATTTGTTCCCTCAGGATACTGGAGCCCATGTGCACCATTGGTTTGAAATCCGGTTAAAGCGCCGGACATTCGCTTTTCGTCCTCTCAATTTCATGAACAACACCACCTCCATGAGAGAGCAGTGAGTAGGACTTCCCTGGCAGTGGGTTTATGCACGTGGCCATGTGGGAGTATTTCGAAAGGGCGAGCTGACTCTCCCCACTCTCGGCTGTACCAGGGAATTCGGGGTCACTTTGTATAAGAAATTATTACCTATTCACTGAAAATATTTAATTTATTTGGGATTAATTTCTGAAGGTGTTAGGGATAACTGTTTGGTGTTAGCCACATTCGCTCACCAATTCACAAATTCTAACTCAAATCTAGACTGTTATCCAAAAAGTTTATTACCTACTGAGTCTTAAGTATTTACTCTGAAATTACAATAATTTAATGGATCGCTACCGTAACTTATACTTCTTTATTTTGTCTGTGTGTAAATCTTAAGATACCATACCTACTAAGTCTATGTTGAAATGACCAATACCCTATGGGGTGGACCATGATCCATATATTGTAACTATCAGGTACTAGTTGATATAGAGCATTTATATGTTTCTGTAACAAACTTCTCAATTAATTTTCTTGATCTAACTCTATTGTAAGTTTAGGTTAATATTCATCACTTTCAAGTCGAACTTTTCTATACATCTCAGAGTAATGAAAAGACATTGTTTGAATCTTATTAGTTTTATGACACTTCCTTCAGAACATGTAAACAATTCACATTTTTTTCGGTTAGATATCCACATACCACAGAAATCAAATAATCGAACTTCATGCAACGGTACAGGTGAGTGTATAATTACGCATAATATTTTTTTGTGTGTATGTCAGAATAACATAGTTGTGAAGTTGTCTAAAATATTTCATTTATTTGCACAACATTCTGTAGCTAATTAGTATAGTTTTGATACAATCTTTCTAAAAACTATTATTTTGAAAGTGATGTTGCTATTGAGATCAAAGTTAAACATTATTTGATGTTATTGTGCTACCTTGTTCATGTATTAAACGCAGCATACATTTCTTAATTCTTTAGGTAAATGTGAACTTCAAAAATCAAGCAAAAATGTTTCTATCACCACTACGAGTAAGTGTAGATTGATGTAAAGTATTATAATATTGAGAATATATGTCAATTTCAGAAATAGAAGTTTTTCAATAGAAGCTCATTACTTGATTTGATACAGGGTTCGAATATTAATAGCCGTGGTATGTGGTTAAGGGTACATTTCAATGAAACAAAGGATGTGCTGTTTTATCTTCAATTTATTGGCACTAGTTTTGATTGGAAGAGTTTACGGAGCTCACTAGGCCACTCAATAGGCCAGTTTTTAAGTCATTTTAAGAGACTCCTAACACCTAAGACCTATCCTAAATCTCATAAACAAAACTTCTTTTTTATATGAACAAACCCTAAAAGTATACCCCCATTTACACTCCTCACATTCGGTTTCTTATTCAGGGTTCAAGACACAAAGATTTTTAGAAACAGAGAACTGAACAGGTAGTCTATGTCTACGGCGTTCACTTTATGAGACGAGCTTAATCACTACACCATAGTGGTAGTGTAATGTATGCTACTTATACGAACAAATATAAGTAGTATGTATCAGGAATTGGGAGTAGGCTTCTTACTGATAAAAGAAGAATATGAGGAGAAGAGAAATAAAAAAAACAGTAGGAGTAGGAACAGGAATAGAAGAACAAGACAAATCAAGAAATATGTGCAAATGGAGTACTCAATTTATCATGCAGTGTTTGAATCATTTCAATAAGTTGGTTTACCCTATCTAAGTCTCTATATATTTTAGTGGCTGTGGTCTGCAGTTGATGAAAACAACAATTAACGTTACCTATGAAAATTGCTTCTCACAGAGTATTACTATCTTTCTCTGCAGTTCAATATAAGCTTGCAATGAAAAGATATGTCGAGCATGAAAAGCCTTTCTTAAAACCATGTTATCTCCTAACTAAAAGATTATTCCATTTCACATGGTTTAGATAATCCTCCTGAATAATATTGTTCCTTAGATTGGCGACTACAACGGTTGAACTAACGGGCTGACTGTTGCTAACTAGGTCTTTATTCTTGATAATTTAGACTTCAAAAGAGACATATCAGACAGTTTTGTCAGTGGTTTGGTAATTACATCACTCAGGGTTGTCATAATCTTGGGATGAATACCTTCGAGACCATTAGACTTATCTCGTCTGGAGTGTTGAATTAGTCCTAAAACAACTCCTTTCTTATTAATCAGATGGTCCATCGACAAGTCATCATTATTATAATTAACGGTTGGTCTTTCTTCATCGTTGGTAGAAGCCACTTTACCAAACTATCCCAATAAAACTTCAGCCTTTGCAGCATCATTTCTTATCAACATCAAGAAAGCTTTTTTTTTACCAAAAGTGCCGGGATCCCATCACTTCTCTGAGTTCATCTCTTTATACAAATGAACAACCTTTTTCAGACTATTTTCACAAACCTTAACCAATCGTTTTTCATACAAGAATCTTAGCTTACTTATTAACGCTTTGTATACGTCCCTAGATTTACCTCAGACACAAGTTCACCACTCTACAGTAGGTGAGTGCATATTGGTTTAAATATTTACATTACTTCTTCATATGCTATGGAGGGAAATTATATACCAATGCTAGTAAAATTATTCCAAGTAACGTTACAGTGAATTACTTATTTTCATTGATTAACATAATCCAAATATAATTTTCCTACAATTATATATTAATGAAACCAAAGGAAATATTACATACAAAATTAAACATTAAATTCACTTGGTATTGTTTACTCGAATCTTCCCATTGATGTTTAGGACTGCAACTGATCCGTCTCTTATTGGCATATGTGCATACTGTGTGAATTGTCTCGATATTGCCTTAATTCACAAGCATTATAAGCAAAGATGGATAGAGTGAACATCAACTCTGAGATGCAGGTACATCCAGGTGACGATTCCGAAATAGGACGAAACGCCCGTCCTGGATTCTACTGCTAGCCACTATCCATCTTTGTTTATAAAATAAGACATAATTTTACGAAATCAGCATGCAATTTCTATATATTAAACATAAAACTTATATATTTTCTTTCAGCTCCCCACGTTCCAACAACAACAACACACCAGAAAATTTCACAAAATCATACAAGTGAGTGCATTATTTCACAATTAAAGATTTATTATTGAAAAATTGGTAACTAATGCTATTACACTTCCGGATTTTCTCTAAGTTCATATTCTAAATAAGATTTTGCACATTATTGAGGTCTGTTAATGAATGCGTAAATTTTTATTGGGATAGTCTTTTGTCCAATGTTTCTTCAGAAAACCTTATTTCAAATTTATGTTAAAAGCTTGACATAACTGAAACATGTTCCAGTAACATTAAATTTTCGATTGAAATGAGTATAGTTAAACTTGAATAAATAATATATAATATATATAGTATTGTATTCTGTGAACATATAATGAGTAATGCGAATTGCAAATGATCAACTTTTACAAAATGTGACAATTGATGGAATAGGTATTGAAGAGAAATGTTTACGAAAATTTGATGAATTGGGTTCAAAATCGCTTATATAAGCAATGCTGATATAGACTCGAATCACAATCAGTTCTATATTGCTTGGTTCTGTGAATAACTATTAAAGAAAAGATAACTCGTATTTAAGTAAGTAAGCCTGTAGCTCTTATAGGGTTGCTGCCGGTCCCAAGCCCGGGTAAAGGAGGAGGGTTGGGCATGGGGTTAGCGTCCCCATCCCGTAGAAAACTAACTCGCTAAAAAAAACGCTTACCAGAAAAAATAATCCAAACCATTTTAACTCTGCCCTGGGAGTTAGAAGGTCTTCATTTAGAAGAATTATGACGCTTCATGGTGAAAGCCGAGTTCCTTCGGAAGCCACGAGGCCGATGCCCCTTCTAACAACCAGAGCAAAAAATTTTATAGGTACATGGAACGTTCGAACAATGTGGGAGACCGGGAAGACAAGTCAAATAGCAATGGAAATGAGGAGATACAACTTAGCAGTACTGGGAATCAGCGAAACCCACTGGACCCAGTCAATCATTGAGAAATGCCCAAGAAAGGACCTAACTATTCTGATGGGAGATCTAAATGCCAAAGTCGGAATAGACAACACTGGATATGAAGATATTATGGGACGACATGGACTGGGAGAAAGAAACGAAAATGGAGAAAGATTTGCAAATCTATGTGCATTCAACAAATTGGTCATAGGAGGCACAATATTTCCACACAAGCGTATACACAAGGCTACATGGATCTCACCGGACCACACTACAGAGAACCAAATAGATCATATTTGCATCAACAAAAAATTCCGAAGGACAATGGAAGATGTGAGAACAAGGAGAGGTGCTGACGTAGCTTCAGATCACCACCTAGTTGTAGCCAATTTAAAACTGAAGATAAAAAAGAACTGGACAAGTGGACAAACAGCACTACAAAGGTTCAATACAGCCTTCCTTCGAGATACTGTCAAACTCAATGAATTCAAGATAGCTCTCAACAACAGGTTCCAAGCCTTACAAGATCTACTGAAAGAAGAAACTACTATGGAGGACAACTGGAAAGGCATCAAGGAAGCATTAACTTCAACGTGTCAAGAGGTTCTCGGTCTAAAGAAATACCATCATAAGGAATGGATCTCTACAGAAACATTGGACAAGATCAAAGAAAGGAAGAACAAGAAGACAGCAATTAACAACAGCCGAATACGAACAGAGGAAATCCAAGCACAGGCTGAATACATAGAAGCAAACAAACAAGTGAAGAGGAGCATTAGAGCCGACAAGAAGAAATACGTTGAAGAACTAGCAACGACGGCAGAAAAAGCTGCTAGAGAAGGAAATATGAAACAGCTTCACGATACAACGAGGAAACTATCAGGGAAATACAGTAAACCAGAGAGGCCGGTCAAAGACAAAGAAGGCAAGCCAATCACCGAAATTCAACAACAGCGTAACAGATGGGTAGAGTACTTCGAGGAACTCCTGAATAGGCCGGCTCCAATGAATCCAGTGGACATCGAAGCAGCACACATAGATCTTCCTATAGATGTCAACCCACCAACGACGGAAGAAATTAGAATGGCCGTCAGACAAATCAAGAACGGGAAAGCAGCAGGACCCGACAACATACCAGCTGAAGCACTGAAATCAGACATCGAAGCAACCACAAGCATGCTTTATCTTCTATTCAAAAAGATTTGGGAGGAGGAACAAGTGCCGATGGACTGGAAAGAAGGACACCTCGTCAAGATTCCAAAGAAAGGAGATCTGAGCAAATGTGAAAACTACAGAGGCATAACACTACTGTCAATACCAGGGAAAGTCTTCAACAGAGTGTTGCTGAACCGGATGAAGGATGCAGTAGACGCCCAACTTCGAGATCAACAAGCTGGATTCCGTAAGGATCGGTCGTGCACAGACCAAATTGCAACACTACGGATCATCGTCGAACAATCAGTTGAGTGGAACTCGTCACTATACATCAACTTCATTGATTATGAAAAGGCATTCGACAGTGTAGACAGGAGGACGTTATGGAAACTTCTTCGACACTACGGATCCTGAGAAGATTGTCAATATCGAGAAGGTCAAGCGAGTTTTTGGACTCAGAATCAATTAGACGATTTGGACTTCGCAGATGACCTAGCCCTCCTATCACGTACACACGAACAGATGCAGATGAAGACAGCCAGTGTAGCAGCAGTCTCTGCATCAGTAGGCCTCAGCATACACAAAGGAAAAACTAAGGTCCTCAAATTCAAAGCGGAGAACAGCAATCCAATCACACTTGATGGCGAAACTCTGGAAGATGTAGAATCCTTCACATATCTGGGAAGCATCATCGATGAACAAGGAGGATCCGATTCAGACGTAAAGGCGAGGATCGGCAAAGCAAGGGTCGCATTCCTACAATTGAAGAACATATGGAACTCAAACAACTTTCAACCAATATCAAAGTGAGAATCTTCAATACGAACGTCAAGGCAGTTCTACTGTATGGAGCTGAAACTTGGAGAACTACAACAACCACAATCAAGAAGGTACAAGTATTTATAAATAACTGTCTACGCAAGATACTCAACATCCATTGGCCGGATACCATCAGCAATAGCCTTCTGTGGGAGAGAACAAACCAACTTCCAGCTGAAGAAGAAATTAGGAAAAGACGATGGAAATGGATAGGACATACATTACGCAAATCGTCAAACTGCATCACGAGGCAAGCCCTAACTTGGAATCCTGAGGGAAGCGAAAAAGAGGAAGGCCAAAGAACACATTGCGTCGGATAATAGAAGCAGATATGAAAAGGATGAATTACAACTGGACGGAGCTAGAAAGGATTGCCCAGGACAGGGTTGGATGGAGAATGCTGGTGAGCGGCCTATGCTCCTCACGAGGAGTAACAGGCGTAAGTAAGTAAGTAGTAAGTACAAAAGAAGTATTTATTGATTGAGATCACGAACCGATCGATTGACCACCGTTGGGAACCTGGAAGCACTGAACGGCCATTTCGCCCTATTGTGGGACTCCTCAGCAGTACGCATCCACGATCCCGCTCTCGGGATTCGAACCCAGGGCCTTCAGTCTCGCGCGCGAACGCTTAACCTACTGGACCACTGAGCCGGCATCCGATGGTGTTAGTGTCTAACACCAACCAATCCACGAAAGTGCGCGACCATCTTCCATTGTACTGAGGTGGATACCTGTCACTACCCGACACGGATTAGCTCCACTGGTCATGGCTTCTCACTGGAACTCCGAGGATTTTCTCACGAAGCTAGTCACTAGTGAGCACATGGTAATGTTCAGTATAAGGGTTATGGATGATCTCAATCAAAAACGTATTAATCTCCACAACCCCTATACTGAGAAGTATTTATGTTGCATTAGGTTTTAGAGATAATAAGTATATTAAAAAATAACACTGAATAGTTTATACAGGATTAGATAGCGCAATTAATATTAATTGATCAACAATTTAGATCAATAAAATCCGCTTGAAATTCTAAGTGGAATATGAATTAGCAATGAAAACTCACTTATTAATCACAAAGCCTGCCAAGCTTTATCATGACGTCTACGTTTGACCCAGATGTAACAGTCATAAGTACTTTATAATCATAATTAACTTGTGAAATAGTGTTGCCGTATTGCTTTACTTCTGTCATTTTACTAATACGTTTTATTATGTTTCTTGTTTCTTAGTTGCTCATGGAACAAAAGCAACTACTACTGCACATAGTAAGTCGATTCCTATCTTATTTAAAAATTAATCGTGGGAATGTTTTGCAGTTTTATTTTATTTGTGTCATGAGTTTATGGAACTAGAGTTTTATGAACTTCCATAAGTTTTGTTAAATCTTGACAATCTTCTTCTGTGCTATAGAACAAATGGATTAGTTTCTTGTGATGATTAGAAGTATTTGAATTATTGTAATAACTAGGACTTCCCAAAATCGTGCAATGTACAGCAAATAGAACGAGATGAACAGAAATGGACGTATTGTATTTGGCATTCAAAATCAGACAGTCAATCCAACCCTAAAATATATTAGTTTATGTTGGTTGCTATTGTATGTATTCCTTAGTCTTCGTGTACATTTCGTTCTGATTACCTTCACTAGATAACGTTTAAACGGTGTAATAATGGGAAGGTGGATACTAAGTAGTAATTACTTTTATTATTGCGCAACACACAGATCACCAAAATTACAGGTACGCTTAGAAAGCATGAAAGGGTAGTACAGAAAACAAAGCGGGTAAGCGAGTAGGTGAGTGAACAGGATTAGAATGTACATATATAGCATAGTGAAATGAATGAATCATCGAATCAATTAAGCGACTAGTAGTAAGGCCTGCGGAATGGATATTATGCGTAGGCACTAAGCAATGCTCAAGCATACATATCATACAAGTGCAACAATAATAAAGGTACAATGGTATAGATAAGTTGTTGTTGTGCAAATGACTGTCCGTTGATTAAGTTAGCAAAAGGGCTTAACCAAATCGAATGTGAACAGACTCAATTGCACGTGAGCTGCTATAACAGCTCCCTCCAGCAAACAAAGATACAAAACAGTGTCTGTGTTTGTGAAAAAATTGTTAAATTAAACAGGGCAGTAGATATCGAAATTTACGAAATTAAGATGTATGATGGAACTATCGTGGAAGTTATTACAAATACTTGTAAGCTTGAGTCCGTACACGTCCGTGAGGTTAGATAAGATGATAATAGGGGATCAAAATAATACAGTGATGCTTCTAGAAGTTTATAAACGTTGATATCAGAATATACAAAATATATAGAATATAATAATAAATAAGTTAAAAGTTCCTATGTGCACATACAAAACAAAGATTGACAAACAAAATTCACATCTGAAGAGGTGAAAGAAATTATTAATTCAAAATCGTAGCTATGTATCGTTGCGGCCATTTCACTCTACGATCTATCTCGTTATTGCCTGATCCTCTTCGTTGTTCTTCGTCGGTGTCGTTGATGATTGGAACTCACGTTCTAGCGATTCAACGGTTTTCGAAGGATCTGTATGTACTGGCTGATCGTTAGCGTCGATGGGAGCTGGTTTGACTCGTTCGATGCTAATTACATCCGTTTTTCCAGCTTTATCTACCGTAATAATTTTATCAATTCCTCTAATCACTTTAAATGGACCATCGTAGGCCGGCTGTAAGAGGGGCCGCACATTATCCTTTCTGATAAACACATGGGTACTGTCGATCAGTTGTTTTGGTATGTACACTCGATTTGATGTAGCCTCAGGAACGTTACTCTTAGATAACTCATATGCTGCCTTAGATGCTGTACATAGTTGACTATATCAGTTGGAGCACTTTTACCTGAGGTGAAAAACTCTTCTGGTAGACGTAAATAGTCACATAAACCAACTCTGCTGGGCAACATCATATATCCTGTCTAATTGCTGATCTTAAACTCAACATGAATAATAGGGGCTTGCTGGCTCAATCGTTTTTGCTAATAAGAGCTGTAGGAGAGGCTTTAATTTGCTAATGTAATCTCTCTACCATACCACTCGCCATTGGATGGCAGAATGTTGTTTGAATACGTTTGATTCCGAAGAGCTTTGCGAGTTGTTGGAAGAGGTGACTCTCAAAATGAACTCCTCTATCACTTGTGATATTAGCAGGCACTCCATACTAAGAAATCCAATGCTCAACTAGGGTTTTGGCTATAGTCTGGCTGAAATTCCTTCTATGGTCACTGCTACAGGCGATCACATTAATTCATCAATGCATGTGAAAATATAACTTGAACCATTTGAAATCTGCAGCGGTCCCACAATATCGATATGTATATGCTCAAATCCGCTATCGTGGTGACGAAAAAGACATACGGTGGAACTGGTGCAACTATGTATCTCAATTTCCTGACATTTTATACAAGCTTGCGTCCAGTTGAGAATATCCCTGTTCATACTTGGCCATAAAAAACGCTCGATGGTTAGTTTGATTGTGGCCCTTATTCTAGGATGCTATATATTATGCATAGCTTCGCAAACTTTTCGTTTTAGTGGCTTCGGAATAACTGGTCGTGGTCGGCCCGTGGAGATACTACACGTGGTGCTTTCTTTTTCGAATTGAGTTTCTTTGGGTACCAAAGAGGTTGTGTTAGCAGACCTTAGTCTATTTAGCTCAACATCTATACTTTGCAATACTGCCTATTTGTGATAATCGATTTCAGACTAGATAAGAGCATTTATCATCGTTCTGAATAATGCGTTTGCCACTTCGTTATTATTGCCTTTAATATGCTGTATGCTAGATGGAAATTAGGAAATAATTTCTAATTGTCGAATTTCCCTCGGCGAACAGTTATCCTGCTTGGCGTTTCATGCTTTCGTTTATGATTGTTTTACGATCTGTTACACTGTGAAAATGGTACCCTCTATCATATGTAACAAATGCTTTATTACCAAGTAAATCGCTAACAGTTCTCTTCTAAACGTACTATACCTCGTCTGAGTAGGATTTAATCTCTTCGAGAAAAATGCAAGTGGTTCCCATGTACTGTTTACTAACTGCTGCAGTACTGCTCCCACTGCTATGTTCGATGCGTCCGTCATGACGACTAGTGGTGCTTCGCTCTTTCGTCGTACAAATATCGTCTTCTGATCTAGCGCTCGCTTAGCGTTCTCAAACGCCTGTATAGCCTCTGTTGATAGACGAAATGTTTGGGTATGTCTTCGCAAAGCGTCCATCAATGGTTGTAATATTGTTGAGCAGTTTGGAATTAATCGTCTATAATAGTTTATTAGTCCCAAGAATAGTCATAATTTACCTTGTGATTCGGGCAACGGATAATCACGAATAGCAGCAACTTTTGTTGGAGCTGGCATGGTACCTTGAGAATTTGTCATATGACCCAGGAATTGCAATGATTCCTTTCCGAATTGACACTTCTCTACTTTATTAGTGACGCTATGTTCCTGAAGTTTCGTAAACAACTGTCATAGATGTTGTAGATGTTCTTTCATGGTAGTGCTAGCTACTAGTATATCATTGATATATGCGTATACTCCTGTCAAACCTATAAATACCTGATCAATGAATTGCTGGAAGGTTTGAGCTGCATTAGTTAACCCGATGGGCATTCGTAAAATCCTAAATAAGATAAATGGAGTGATTACAGCAGTTTTGGGTATACCTTCTGGTGCCACGTGTATGTGGTAATAAGCCCGAACAAGATCAATTTTTGAAAAGACCGTGGCATTTATATAGGTAGAGATGTCGTGGATGTGCAGTACCGGATATCTATCCGACATTAGTTTGTTTGTTAAGAGCTCTATAATCTCAACATGATCTGATTTCTCCATTCCCTTTGATAACCATATGCAACGGGGATGCCCAGGGACTATTCGATGGCCTTACGATACCAAGTTTCATCAATTTTTCGAATTCTCGTTTCGCAATATTCAACCTTTTGGGCCTAGCCTTCGTGGTTTTGCGTTAGTCGGTGGACCTTTCGTTACACTGTGGTGCTGTACAGTATGTTTAGGATCTCTGTTATTGTATGACACTCTCGTCAAATCAGCGTACTCATTTAGAAGCAACCTATATGACCCGCTTTTGTCTTTTGACACCACTAAATCCATTGATACGTGATCGGTTGTCACTCCTTTTATCACTACTGAATGGTCTCCGTTCACAAGCTGGTTTCGTTGAGAATCCACTAGTAATTCGAAATTCTTGAATAAGTCAATACCAATTATAGGTAGGGATACGTCTACGATAAGGGATTCCCAGCAAAATAAAGTGCTAAGACCGAAATTCAAGTTCAATTTTTGCTTTCCATATGTTTTTATGTCGGATTTGTTTGCTGCTTTAAAGGTTAGTGCTGTATTAATATTTCGTCTTTCGTTTTACGACGCTTATTTCTGTTCTCGTGTCTACTAACAATTGAGTGCATATTACTCTATCCTGGACATAAAATAAATGACTGTTTCTAAGAGCTGTGTTAGTTGTCGCAGCCGTTACGGACAACCTGTGGGATCGTTTAAATTTACATGGTGATCTACATTTTCTAGCTCTGTGGCCGAACTTCTGATGGTACCAGCGTGTTGTAGGAGCTGAGCGTCTCCTACAGCATGATCGGCTTCTATCTCTTGATCTACTTCGCGACCATCTTCTTTGTCCGTCGTCCTGACTTAGGTTCGTCACTTTGTGGCATAAAACATCAATCTTTTCTTGTAACGCATCGATTCTTTCATCTTCTGTGGAGATATGCCTATGTGGACTCGTGTGTCCCATTCTCTCAAAAATCCTATCGGATATTTTGGTGATGTTGTCTATGTCGACATTGCAGTCCCCAACTGCAAGGATCTGCTGCACGCAGTGGGAGTCGTCGTATTCACAAGTGATAAAATATGCTTTTCTCTACGTTTCTGTCCCCGATCGTGTTGCTCATATAATTTTTTAACTGCGACGGAGTCCTATCTCTTATTTGTACCTGACTGGGCAGCTGCTGCCGGTCGGTTGACGAAACGGCTTTTATTACTGCCTGCGTTGGTACGTCGAATGGTTTCCCTGCGTCCGGATTAGCTAAGACCTCTCGAAAATTGTCTGCTAGTTCATCCGGAAGTAGTGGGCATCAATAACCGAATTTATCTTGCTGTAAGTGAAAACGATTAGCTACAAAGTAACTTTAAAGTCTAATGAACCAAAGATGAGGGTCAGTGACCTTAGAAGGAGGAATAGTAAGGTTAGTGAACCTCATGGACGGTGCTTAAGGAAGGTCTATTGTGTCGTTATTTGAAGACATATTAATAAAAATTAAATAGTGCGCGAATAAAATGTAAATGTCACAAAAAGAAATCATCACAAACTGACACAAAGACAGACTGATAAAAATAGTGATGCTAACCAATGAAACGATTTAAAACATAGAACAAACTTACTAAATTGCACCAATATATATATATATATATATATATATATATATATATATATATATATATATATATATATATATATATATATATATATATATATATAGTTACGTTCAATAATGCTTGTGAGATAATATGCGTGTAATTAAAATAGTGATATAAGAAATCCAAAATTATGATCATAATCCAGATGATAACCCGAATTGAAACGGAGCGCGTTGGAAATTCGAAGTTATATTATGTCGTCGAAAATCGTTTCGTGTACGCATGTTAAGATCACCAATTCTGTGGCGGTCGGTTGACCCAGATGTGACTATCATAAGTATTTTATAATCATAATTAACTTGTGAAATAGTGTTGCCGTATTGCTTTACTTCTGTCATTTTACTAATACGTTTTATTATGTTTCTTGTTTCTTAGTTGCTCATGGAACAAAAGCAACTACTACTGCACATAGTAAGTCGATTCCTATCTTATTTAAAAATTAATCGTGGGAATGTTTTGCAGTTTTATTTTATTTGTGTCATGAGTTTATGGAACTAGAGTTTTATGAACTTCCATAAGTTTTGTTAAATCTTGACAATCTTCTTCTGTGCTATAGAACAAATGGATTAGTTTCTTGTGATGATTAGAAGTATTTGAATTATTGTAATAACTAGGACTTCCCAAAATCGTGCAATGTACAGCAAATAGAACGAGATGAACAGAAATGGACGTATTGTATTTGGCATTCAAAATCAGGCAGTCACTCAAATACAAGAGAATCATTAGTTTATACTAACACCACAACCGCCACAGCTTAAATTAGAACCTAAGTTTCTGCAATCGATTGAACGTCTTCTTTGTAGGTTCATTGTATGTCTGTCAGACTGTGTATTGGATACAGACACTGTATGATCTAGAATATGCTCATTAGTATTAGGATTAACAACTGAAATTGGAAAAGACTCACCTGGATCATGGAATTGTATATGTTCAACATGTTGGTTGTGTAGTGAAATCGATGGTATCTAGAATTTAAATCATAAATACACCAACATTATCCTCCCCCCAACGAATGTAGGGTACTTATATCTCAATGTAATAACCAATTTGACGTTTCCAATTTGCATCTTCACCTCATATTCTACACTTTGATTACAAAATGTGAGTAGTTGAAGATACTTTACCTACTTACCTACGCCTATTACCCCTTGTGGAGGAGCATAGGCCGCCCACCAACATTGTCCATCTAACTCTGTCCTGGACAATCCTTTCCAGTTGCTATACATACTTTTTCATGCCTGCTTCCAATTCTCGGTGCAGTGTGTTCTATGGCCTACCTATTTTCCGTTTCCCCTCAGTATTCCAAATTAGTGCTTGCCTCGTTGTGCAGTTTGGTGATTTCCGTAATGTATGTTCTATCCACTTCCAACGACTTTTCCTAATTTCTTCTTCAGATGGAAGCTGGTTTGTTCTCTCTCACAGTAGGCTATTGCTGGTGGAATCTGGTCAACGGATATTGAGTACCTTGAGTAGGAAATTCTTTATAAATACTTGTAATTTTTTGATGATGCTTGTAGTTGTTCTACAAGCCTCATCTCCATAAAGCAGAACTGTTTTGTGGTTTGTGTTGAAGATAAGGTATTGCCAAATGGAATTGACCCAGATGTAACAGTCATAAATACTTTATAATCATAATTAACTTGTGAAATAGTGTTGCCGTATTGCTTTACTTCTGTCATTTTACTAATACGTTTTATTATGTTTCTTGTTTCTTAGTTGCTCATGGAACAAAAGCAACTACTGCTGCACCTAGTAAGTCATGTAATGATGCTTTCTCACTCTTTATTTCGGTGTGAGTAATCCTGATACCTTCGATCTTTTGTGGAGTGTGATGTATAGAACCGTCTGTGTGTATTGCTACGATGTATGGGATTTTCATTTGGGATGATCGTTTCAGGAGTTCCTCAATTTGTTCTACCCCTTTGTTCCCGTCTTGATGAATCTCAGTGATTGTCTCGTCTTCTTTTCCTTGACTAGTCTCTCTGTTTTAGTCTGTTTTCCTGCTAGTTTCTTCGTTATATCATATAGTTTTCTGATACTTCCTCTTTTTTTAGCTACTTCTGCTTTCGTTGCTGGATCTTCCGCGTAATCCTGCTTGTCGCCTCCAACGTCCCCCATTACTCTCTTGTTCTTCCTTTCTTGAGTAATGTTCAGGGTTTCCATGGAGACGCATTTCTTATGATGATAATTCTCGCTGCCCGGCACCTCCTGACACATTGAAGTTAGTGCTTCGTTGATCCCTTTGCTGTTGTCCTCAGTCGTAGTTTCTTCTTTTTTGAGTAGATCTTGCAAGGCTTAAAACCTGTTGTTGAGATCCATCTTGAATTGTTTGAGTCCGTCAGTATGTCGAAGGAAGTTTGCATTGAAGCTTTGTAATTCTGTTTCTCTAGTTGTTGAGTGCTTCCTTAGCGCCGATCTTATTTTGTTCAAAACTAGGTGGTAATTTGAAGCTATGTTAGCTCATATCTTTGTTCTGACGCCCGCCATGGATATTCTGATGTTTTTGATGTACATATGATTGATGTAGTTCTGTGTTTTGTGATGTGGTGAAATCCATAAAGCTGTGTGTACGCGTTTGTTACGGAATATAGTGCCGCCTATAAATATTTTGTTGAATGCGATTAAATTTGCGAATCTGTCACCATTTTCGTTTCTTTCTCCCAGTTTATGTCGTCTTATGATATCTTCATACCCGGTGTTATCCATTTCGACTTTGACGTTTGTCTGTCATCAGGATGGTCAGGTTCTTTCATGGTTATTCGTATACGATCAACTGAGGCCCTTCATAAGACTGGTCGTTATCGTAGTCGTTGCCATCATTGGTGGGTGCATAGCACTGGAAAACATTCATTATGATCCTCCCCTTCTTTTTTTGATGTGATAAGCTAACCAGAATCAGCCTAATGAGAAGATCAATCGATGGCATTCGGGAGTGATTTGAAGGACTGGTGCATTTCATTGGTTAAGAGGTGGGTTCATTTCCTAAAAGGCAGAGTTGTTCATATAAAAATGAGTATTTGTGCATTTCATTTGGTAGCCTAATATGCTTTCTCTTTCACCATTGTGTTCTCGCTCAAGTAGACAGTTGTGAAGTTAGAGCGCAGCATGTCGTGTATCGGTATCAGATTTCGGACACGGCCCGTCATGGCAGCTTTGAAGGACACTTCGATGATCCCGGATTCATGAGATCCTCATTCTGTAAGAGTTTTTTGTGCTTCTTCTAACAGTATCTGTGCAACTCCTTGTGTGTGCAAAACATTTTCTTGTTCATAAAAAAGTACAATAGCATCTCTCCCGAATCTAATCTTTTCTCTACAGCTTGATTCCAATGGACTTCACTTATTCATTGCACTGCCAGGTTGTATCTCCTTATTTCCGTATCTATTTTACCGGTTTCCCGGTCTCTCACATTGTCCTGACATTCCATGTCCCTACATTAATTATTGCTCAGGTTGTTAAAGGAGTTATTGGCCTCGTGATTTCCGAAGAATTTCGGCTTCTACCATGAAGCGTCATATTTCTTCTAGGAGGACAGAGTTTAAATTGGTTTAATTTGTTTGTTCTGGTAAGCGTTTTTCAGCAATATTGTTTTCTACGGGATAGGGATGCTGATCCCATGCGTAAACCTCATCCTTCACACAGGCCTGTCTTAAAAAACACATTTTCTAGATGACCAGACCGAATCGAATCTTTCTGAACGAATTTAATAAAATTCATACGATATTGGTTTGTTTAACTTGACCCAACTAAGTATGAAGGCCAATTGGGTTATCAAGAAAGAAAATAAAAGATCTTTAGTAAATAAGTGAGAGACTGGAGCACAGGAAAATGCTAAAACGAACCGATATTTTAGCAGTTTACTTTGATATAATTTTTGTGCAAGTAGGCAATTCAATTCAGCTATACATTGTGTGCAGCAGACGGACACCTTATCAGTTTACTTCCATACAGTTTCATCTTCCTATTTCATTCTAAAACTTTGTAATAAACCAAAGGCTTTTAGAGCTTGTAATAGGCGTCGAGTCGCGATCGACTATGATCACCACTACAGGAAGATTACTTATCAGATATTAGGTTTGATCTCTTCATAGACCAAAAAACCAAAAGGCAATTGACGGTCGTAATAGAATATATTTGTTGACAATCTCGTGGTGTCGAAAGAGTACCGAGATCGTACCAAAGAGTACGAGCGGGACTACGTAGCGTACACGAATGCGTGCAAAGTCACAGTTAACGGAAGAAGGTAAGGTTTTAATACAGTTGAACAAACAGGTACAGTAAAACAATCACTGGTACAATTGGTTATAATTGTTTCCATTATGCCAATCGCGTTATCTTCATAAAAGTAGGTCCCTACAAGCTAAAGTGAATACACCTGTACAGAACGTGGAAAACATTGCAAGTATGCGTTACATGTATACAGAGAATGTACACCTCAGACACCTATGCGCTCTAAAGTAAACAAATAGATATAGATGATTCCGCTAGCAATTATACGTTACATGCATACATAGAATGCATGGACCGAGGCTTTACACTTCATAGTATACACATAGGTAAAGATGGTTTGGTTGACTCCAACAGTAGTAGTAAATGAATACATTACTTACCTTTATACCATTAGGGTTATGGGTCGTCTATACCACAAACAATTTTAGTGTCAGCCCCTATGTACTAGTTACAGAACAGTTTATAGCAATTGCTCTGGTTTGTATCAGACCTAATTGACCCTCCTAGAGATAATTCACTAATGTACTGTTATGATTTTATGTCCGGCTTTAATCACGTGATTTATCCACCAATCAAAATACGACTTATACAATATTCGCACTATGCCAAACCAATGACGTTCAACCGGTATGAGCAGTCTAGCGTCCTTATTGGTCCTATGTCTGCCTAGCCCGTTCGCTTGAGTCCAGAATCCAATACCAGATTCTGCAATATGAATCGAATCATTTATTTCAAACATACTGTGTTTATATATCAGCCAGACGGACCACAACGTACCATAAAATAGAAAATAACATGTGTACACAATAAAGCCAAAAAGTGGCTGTGAACGTGAGAGGCAGCAGTTAATAAACCGAACATAGCTTAAGGACCGTAAATCGTACAATAATAAATTATAGGTCAAAATGAAGCTTATAATAAGGGGAATATAAATATATATAACCTAATTATTGAATAGTTACATCACGTAAGTTCACGAATAAAGTGCCATACTCAGAGTTGTGTGTCTGGACTTACTACAGATGATATTGGTAGTCAATTCATTTCTTTCTGGAATATTTTACAAGTGGATGTTTGAACGCAAATCAAATGTTATTTAAATATCGATTGCCTCATAGTTCTGCCTCCTTATTGAGATCTATTGATTTGGCGACTACTTTTAAATGACATATCACAGACAGTATTCAGTTCATTAATATTGAACTGATTTACTTGTTTGCGTTTTTATTTGTAAGTTCAAAGTTGGTAAAAACCAATGAAAAGATATTTCCTCTGACCAAATGAATAAACATTTTAACTTATTAGCCCAACTGGAGAGGCAACTAATTTTGCCTGGTTCATAGTCATCATGAAATTGTAGAGAATGATTTCAAAAATGAAATAAGTAACAGTATGTAGGTTATTGAATATATAAATCAGAATTTTTGAGTGTCCATTATTGGAAAATCGAACTATAAGAACGTATCATCAGGTTTCATGATCAGTCAAATATTCAGATAAACAACTACCCCCCCCCCACAAAAAAAGAAACACATTGACAAATATCTTTTTTAAACAGAGTTGAAGTACACTGTAAAACTGAACAGAAATATTTCTTATTTATGTATTTATTTGATGAAGTCAGTTTGGATATCGTAGTGTTGGTTACTATGTTAAGCCCATATAACGTATTCTAGCTACTTGACAGGTCAATTTATCCATCCTTCTTGAGTCACGTTTTGACCTTGTTAATTATTCACTTATCAACCCTGACTGTTTTTATATGAGCGTATGTGTATACACTTTTTATCCTATTCATCACATATCTATAGCTTATTTTTATCTGGCTATAAATAAAGCTTGATTAAATGGAGTTGGCTCACACGCCTACTCCACTGCTCGTCGTTTCACTTCACTCTCTTCTCTTTGCTTCCTTCGCTTCGTCTCTTTGATTGCCTGTTCAGATCAATGAGAGTAAATAATATGTATGTATTCGAAGCTCCATTTTCGTATTTGATTTATTTAATCCCGTTATTCCCTAACGCGAATCAAGTTGAATATTACATACAAAGATAACCGACATATGTATTTCAATAACATTCATACGATCCAATTGGAATCAGATTCAGGGCCACTAAATATTATTAAACGAAACTTAACATTGTAAATTGGAACAACACATATAATCGATCAATATCAGGATACTTCACTCTAATATAATGATATCTCTTTTATATGGAATATATATTGTTCTGTTTTTTTTCAAATATGATTTTTTAAAGAGTCATTCCTAAAAAGTAAGCGAATATTTATTGCATTAAAACGTTGATCACCTTTAGTTTAATATAAAAGTACTAATATTCTATAGTGAATCTAATTAAGACTGTTGAAAGATTTTCTGTTTATACCTTTTTAAATTTTAGATCAATGATGAATAGCTCCAAGGATTGATATTCACTTATAACCTCGTACTATGCTGATTAGCATGTTATGTCAATTAAATAGCGGTTAATATCTATGTTATGCATCTCTATTTCTATCTAGGATCTCATATCTAACCTAAATATTACTAACCTCAATTTTTTCAATATAAATGACTAATTATCTGAAGATACATTTATTCAAGTATAATATAAAACTATGTTTAACAGCTATAAATGAGAATACTAAGTAAACTATCGTATAATATACTTATCCTTTGATACAAATAAAAGTATTTCACTTAGGTTGGATACCAAGGAAATTGTCAAAAGTCAATAAAGCTATTTATATCTATGGGAAGATACAAGTCAAATAATACCAAGTGAATTGAAATTCACCCCATTGCACAAGCAAGTGGCTATCAGGACTCAGTAACTAAGTGGATAACGCGATGGCATTTGAAGCGAATGATGCTAGGTTCGAGTCCCAGAGTGAACATCAACTCTGAGATGCAGGTACATCCAGCTGACGAGTCCCAAATAGGACGAAATGCTCATCCTGGATTCCGCTGCTAGCCACTATCCATCATTACTTACAAAAAGCTTGCGAATTAAGGCAATATCGAGGCATACGCACAGTATGCACATATGCCAATAAGAGACTGATCAATTGCAGTCTTAAACCTCAATGGGAAGATACAAGCCAAATAATACCAAGTGAATTATTTATATCTATTGTTTCAAATTACTAAGAGTTATGAATATAATTAATGGAACCTACTATTCAATTGAATGCTGCATTTTATATGTACAAGAACAATGTCATTACATAATTTATGATTAGATCGAATTGTAAACATTTCCACTTATTAATGAATGACCCATTATAAATTATGAAATAGTAAACAACTGGTTAGTCTTGTTCTGAGACTAGTGTAAAGGATATACTAGCTAACTAACAATTGAATCTTAATTCAATAAGTGACATCTTGTTCTAGTATATACTGTTTGTTTCTAAATATAATACTAGTTGCATAACTTTTAATGATATAAAGTTACTATTTTGACCATATTCTCTCTTTTTTTCTTATACAATAAAACAGACGTTGGTGATGGATGTGAGTATGAAGTGTATTTTTTTCTTCTTTCATTAAATAAATACAGTTTAAAATGCTGTGAGAAACACTGAAACTACTACAAATTGCTTTCGTTTCGGTCGGAGTTTTTTCTCTTAGCAACACAAAAAAATACCAATCGAAACAAAAGCAATGAATAAAAAGCTTGGTGGCATGGTATGAATTGAAATAAACTGTAAACATATACTGGAGTAAATTACATATATTCATTGTAAGACATTAAACTACATGTGTAGTAGTTTCAGTGTTTCACACACTAATATCATAGTGAGAATCTTCAATATGAACATCAAGACAGTCCTACTGTACGGAGCTGAAGCGTGGAGAACTACTATAACCATCATCAAAAAGGTACAAGTATTTATAAACAGTTGTTTAGGCAAGGCACTCAATATCCATTGTCCGAATACCATCAGCGACAGCATACCATATGAGAGAACTAACCAGTTTCCAGCTGAAGAGAAAATTAGGAAAAGACTCTGGAGGTGAATAGAATATACATTGCGGAAACCACCAAACTGCACCACGTGGCAAGTGCTTACCTGGAATCATGAAGGTGAACGGAAGGAGGAAGATCAATGAATACACTGAGTCGGGAATTGGAAGCAGACATGATAAAGATGAATAGAAACTAGAAAGGATTGCCCAGGACAGAGTTGGATGGAGAGTGCTGGTGGACGGCCTATGCTCCTCCACAGCGGTTAACAGGCGTAAGTAAGTAAGTTTGTTTCGGTGTTTTGCAAGATGTAACAATTTCTATGATCACGTTTTATCTCATATGAACTTGATATACGTACATAGGCTTTTTACTTTTTACCCGCCAAATATGCTTTACTACGCATTCTTAATTTGTTAAATAATAAACTGATAATGTAAATTGTTATTATCTGTTCATTAAACAAACACATACACATAATATCTGCAGATGGAAGTCGTCAAGAATTGACTACTCCTTTGGTATTATTGAGAACCGTGCGATAGTAGATATACTTTTTTCTTAGTAAGGACCTATTCATTAGAGAACATCCACAACCATATAAAGTTGCAAACCTAGCAGCTTCGAGTATTTTGGTGAACGTTTTATCATTAGAACAATGGATTATTCCCAAATGGTACACGTTTTCGACCTTTATAACTTCATGATACAGTACGAAGATCATTGGATATCACTGATGATAACTGTTTCACTCTTGGCATGTTTATACTATATCAATTAGGCGTTTGAACAAACGTAAAATATTTAAACTGATTTCAGATTGATAACTATTAAAAATAGTGGCAATAAGTGTTATTTTTCTCTCAATAATCAAAGATATAAGTTCACAGGAAAATGACTAGTAAACTAAAGTTGGCATCAATTCGACGTTAGCAACCGGTGTATGCTTCGTCTATCAATATGTAGTCAGTTGTGAGTATTTGATGGTAAAATGCTCAAAAATGTAAAACATTGAAAATTTTCTTTTTTTAATTTTGATCCATTTCATTCATTCTAATTTGTAAATTGCACTTTTGTTCTTTATTTTCTAAGTTTTTGATTTGTTCAGTGAACAAGGTTAGTTGGTATCATCTTCACCAAGGTTATACTTGGTAATTCCGATTAAATTGCCTATCAATTGGATTGTATCACGACTATAAAGTAATATATTTGTAATACTCCGATTCTCCAAGTCATTACTCTGGAGAATGAATAAGTAATCAGAGTAAATGAACACAAGTTTAAGTAGTACAGGGAGACAAATCAAAATATTTAATTCAATCCAGACAACTTTATCATTTTGTCTGAGGAAGTGACTTACGATGAGTTACGAAATGTTAGAAATTCAATTTTTCACTCATTACATATTAAAAATACATTGTTTTAATGTCATAATAAGTAATTCTTAGAATAAAATACGCAGTATTGTAACTAATTCCCATTTCAAGTGTATTGAAGTTGTGACTCCTTCGACTCCTTTAGATTGAAAAAGCGATAGGAACATGAATTAAAAATCTGATCTTTATGGTCAGAAAAGATTCAACTTAATAACCCATTAAATAACTCATTTTGATTATAAAATGGTCTGATAAGCATGTATACATGTTCTTTCCTTTTACATTTTCATAGTTTAAATTCAACTAATTTAACTAACTGCCTCGCTTTAATCACAAACTAACCTGAAGTAGAAAACCATTGAGAATGTGGAAGCACAAGACAGCTATTTCATTCTAGTACTTGACTCCTTAGGGGTGCGCATCAATGAACATCCCAGAAATCGAACCCAAGGATCTCAGGTCGTCTGGTTGGAGCTTAACTTTTAGGCTACTAATTCGACACCCAGTAGTTTACCGGTCTAACTTAAAGCGATTTGCAACATTGAGCAACCATTTTCTATTATCTTCGGTGGGTACCTGCCTCACACAGAAGATGAAATTTTCTGAGAAGTCCTATACTAGAATGAAACAGATGTGTAGTGCTTCTGTGTTTCCCATGGTTTTCTAACTTAAGCTAGTTTGTAGTCGCAAAACGTTCGAAAATCCCTACAAATACCTGTTAAAAACAAAAAAATGACGGTGGGATGGGGGATTAGGATCACGGTAATAATAAGTGATTGGATATATCGCTACTGTACAAAAAAGATCATGTTCGAAATGATGAATTACCATAGCCTCAACCGTTCACAAATTTATAATCCAGTTTCGTTTAAAACTAATTTATCTGACTTTGTAGATAATTTAGAATCGAAATCCTGGTAGAGCTCAATGATCAGATATTATCATTTCTGAACAATGTGAATAGTTTTTTCCCCGAAATATCCATAAACATATATTGTAAACTTTATGTATATATATATCATATCATATCATATATTCTATCTTATCATTTTAGAGTTTCATCCAATAAATCAAAAGTAAGATTTACCAATTTATTCATACTTGATTACTGAAGTGTCTACAGTCAAATATTTATCATTGTATGGATGAAGAGGTACTTTTACAATTTCCAAAAGTTTATTTAATAAAAAAACTTTTATACCATTTCTAAAAGATGGTAAAAACGTAATTCTATAGGTGACTTGTAAATTAATTTTAGCTACGATCACTACATATGTGATATCGTCTATATATAGTATGTTAATAATATGTTGAGTGATTAGTTTAATTGTTATCAGCCTAACCGAAAGTTATATGGAACAAATGGAACTTCAGAATTTTTATAAAGTGAGAAGTATGTCATAATAGTTGTCTGAACAACTTCATCTTAATAGGATCCAAAGACACATTATTTACTATTTTGAAGCAAAGATTTTAAAACAATACTAAATCACATGAATAGTCATCAGAGTAGGGAAATGTAGTCATTACTTTTCAGGAATTAATTATACCGTTACTAAAATGTCATTCATTTGATTGAAGGAGTTATTTGTTCAATTTCTGGTGAGTTCAACCAGCCATGATCTACTTACAGTTTATTTTGTGAACCTTTTTGCCTGTCATATAAAATTTTTTAGAGGCATATGAAAGTAGTGGATTATTCTTTCATGCCTTAGTCATGATCTGTTGTATGTAATGAGGATACGTTACTTCAGAATTGAATTTTGTCAACTTCTGTTAAGGTCAAAGGCACTAAATCCGTTGATTTCATACAAAATAATTATTATTATTGTTTGGAATTAATGAAATATTTATTTCCTTGAGTTTGCTAATCATATTCTATTAGCCCTACAGAACTAAGAAGAACATGAGCACAAATGAATAAGTTTTATGATATATAAAGCTAACCAGCAAGAACGTTTAAAGTATTGATTGTCTTATATAAACAACACAGACATCTTTATCAGTATTCAAATGACTAAATTTCCATTTGCCTGTGAAAACAATATATACATCATCATAAACATATTCTCAAGCATTTTATAAACGATGGACTATAAATAAAGGTATTATAAATATACAGCAACAAAAGCAGATTAACTTCCGAGATCTTTCATTTATTTAATCATTTTAGGTACCTTTTCAGATCATCATTCTTGAATTTAAAGAATATGAAAACTTTATTACTAGGAAGTTAAATCGTTTCCCGTCAGTCGTTTCGAACATTCAGAAAAATATACGCTGGAATATTCACTAAACAATGTTGTCTTTACAATAAGTCATCAGATATTTTTCATTTTGTCTTATTTTTATTTAACCTTATTACTAACAACAATGAACAATCGAAATAAATATCATTTGAATAATGTTGTTATACTTTGATAGTAATACGATGTGATATCTGTGCTAAGTGATGATTCCTTTGCGCTTGATTGGGTGCTTATTATGATTTACAATTGTAATACGTTCAGTTGTGTTCATCTACCTGCCTAAAGTTGCATTATTTCGGAAATTATTAGTCAGCAAATCAATTCCAATACTTCTAATTATCATATAGGACTGGTGGGATCAAACTTGAAAGAAAATAAACTATTAGAGCTATAAAAGTCAAGAATCTAACGTATTTGGATTTTTGTATTTTATAAATATATCTCGAATGGAATGAGTTATTCATCGGAAGTATACAAACCAATTATTACATTGAGTTAATGAATATCTAGTATCGAAAGCAATCATTGTTTGGTATACTTTAATGTGTTTGTCGTTTGTAGCCCCCTGATATTACTCGAACTTAAAAGAACGAGTGAATATCTCATGAACATAAATCTTTCATTTAACTCTGTATGTTACCTAGGCTAACGCCGTTTGTGTGACGGCGGTAATATGAAACCAAATACTGGTTGCATTGAATGGATTTATTTCAAGCACTCGTTTATCCAGACAGATATTCAGAATAAGAAGCGAAAATGAGGAGCTGAGAAGGCGAGTGAGCCAACTCATTTTGATGAAGCGAGACTCAATATTTATAGTCAGACAAAAATCAACTACAGATATGTCTTGAGCAGGGTAAACAATGCACACACAATCATACCTTTCTGTAATCAAAGATGCCCTTCAATTACCTGGACGCAGATACCAGGGAACAAACAATCCCCTAATTTGGCCTAATGAAGTTTGGAACCATCTGTTGTGACTTTATGTCCAGCTTATATCACGTGGTTTATCCAACAATCAAAATACGACTTATACAATATTCGCACTATGCCAAACCAATGACGTTCGACCGGTATGGGCAGTCTAGCGTCCTTGTTGGTCCTATGTCTGCCTAGCCCGTCCACTTGAGTCCAGAACACCAAATACCAGTTTCCAGTATGCGAATCATATATTTCAAACATACTGTGTTTATATATCAAACAAACAGACCGCAGCGCACCATAATATAGAAAATAACATGTGTACACAATAAAGCCAAAAAGTGGCCGTGAACGTGGAAGGCAGTAGTTAGTAAACTGAGCATAATTCAGGGAAATTAGATCTTATAATAACAGATTATAGGTCAAAATGAAGCTTATAATAAGAGAAATATAAATATACATAATATAATTATTGAATAATTGTACAATAAGAATATTTATAGAATATTAGTCCATTAATAGTCCTCGGAAGTTACCTGTAATTTAATCTTCACTAGGATATAATACATTCAAGCTCCAGTTAATTCACATGTTCTTGACGCCACTATCAGTTAAACCATGGACTGAGATTATGTTTTTTTCAATTAATATTAATGGAAGTTTTCCATCAGTGGGACCTGGCAATTGTGGTTGAATAGTTAAATAACCCTTTGTGGTTTTAAAAACACATGGGTGATTTTGAAATTTCAATAATAACGAAGAAAGATATTAGGAAGAGTACTACTGCCTACTTGGAAGCCATAACATTTTCTTGAAGAGCCTCTTTCATCCTATCGACAGCTAAAATTTCCATTATTAAGCTGTAGTGACTCACGTTTATCACGAGAACACGACTGGTTTAAAAAAAACAATTATTATTATAACCAACTGTACCAGTGTTTGTTTTAACGTGCTTTTGTTTGACTGTGCTAATGACAGCTATTTTGTGCTTCCATTCTTATACTTACACTTCGATTGTAACTTCGCGCGAATTCGGTTACCTTCTGTAACCAAGGTTGTATCCTGGCACGATCTCGGTATCCTTTCGATGCCACGAGATCGCCAGCAAATAAACCTCGACTTGGTCCATTAATTGCCTTCTGGTATTCGGCTTCTCGGGGATTTTATGGATCTATTTGGTTACGTCCAACCCTCGCCTTCTGATTCGCTTGGCACTTGTTTCTTGGTAGCGGTGTTCATAGTTAACCTCAACTCGACGCCACGCTACAAAGCCATCGTATACTTCATAATCAAACTATACTTATGCATAGGGTGTAATGTAATTTAATAAATCAGCTACACTTTTAGACCTTAATTGTTTTTTTGCTGTTATCAATGTTCCGTGTCTACTTAACAATGATTTGCACTCGTCATGTCACAAAGCAATAGCTGAGTTGTTCATGTGTTGTCCGGATGCATAATAAAAAAACATACACGAAATTCATGTTCATTGGCTATGCATTACATAACATGATAATAAGACATGGTAAAGGGGATCAAATGTGTGGAACAGTAGAATCAATACGAAGTCTGGTGTTATTTTAGATTGTAGATATCCCATTTGTTGAGAGTGACCAAATCAGGAGTTGGGTCATTCAATATTGAACAAATCATCGGCCCTCGTCAAGTTCAAGGACAACCAACGCGTATCAGTTCATCATACGCCATGGACTGGCCCGTGCGGCAGTGGTCTTACTTTCGCTTGTATCTACATTAACATATATATTTCTGTAATAACGTCCTCTGTGTTGTACAGCCCTCAAAGTATCTATGGTACCTTGATAAGTCAATGGGTGATGGCCACGAGGTATGACTTCGACGTTAGCTGGTTTGTCACACCATTCATGTCTAACTCGAGTAGGCCTCCGATCATTAGACATAGATCGTCTGTGTTGATGATCTATAGTCTCTACTCAAGTGCGCATGTCTCGGTGCGAATTTGCCTGAACACTTTTAATTGCAGCGAAAGTACATAGTTTTATCGTATATGATATGTTACATGAAATAACACAGAAGTCCCTGTTTCTGGTAAGAAATGTTATTGTAGTCTTCATTGTGCTTAATTTTTTCGTGAAAGAGAGTTCTTTGTTACACAAGCTCTTCTTTGCTTCTTGGGAATCCGTGGGTTGAATTAGTGTTTCAGAAGGAAGATATCGCAACAATAAGAAGCTATCAGGCTTTTCCTCTTCAGCCTTCGATATTACGGTGATTTAGACGGATTATCAATCTCTAAAATCATGTGCGGATACAAACTTTTCAACAAAACCAGTCGATCTACGGTTTTCATAAAATGGTACAGAGCAGAAAACAAACTGACATATACACCGAAAAAGCTAAAGAAAGAAGAGCAGAATGTACGTCGTTAGAAGAGAACTTTATGGTTTTCCAACATCAGCAGGCTGTCTTAATATCCGAGTGCTTGGAAACCATGCTGGCCTACCTGTATTCAGATAACTTAAAACACTTCAGACTCAGAAGGCACGCCTTATCTCATACATTTCAAGATCGTTATCAAGACAGTTGAGATGCGAATACTATTGATCTTGTTGGTCGTGTTAGCAGTCCATTTTTGTGCCAGCATCTCCATATCGTGGCTTTGATCATGTTTATTTTTGTATCTAGAACTAAAGATCGTGACTGGAGCTCAGCGTTGACGAGAATATTTAGCGGAAGTACTTCTGATGAAACAGTTGTAAGTAACTTTGTTGACAGTATTTCTTATGCCAGTGAATGAACTTTCTGTAATTAGTGACTAAGCAGATTAAAGTATCGTTTTCCGTCCACTAGTTCTGGTTTGGCTGTCGAGAACAATTACACTGAAATTATTCTTGATACTACACCCGTGACACTCATGAGGAAGAAGATGCGGAGAGCCTCGAAAGTGATTGTCTTTTCTACTGTGTCTACTTTTAGATGTGTTCACGGTTTGTAGCGACCGAACAACCAATATTCGGTTGAAACAACGGACTGACGAACCCAAAATTTATTCTATTAGACCAGACCACGTTCCTCTGTATAGCTCACGACGCGTTTTTGAGATACTCGTATTATATTATATCAAAACACACTCTGTGCTCAACATAAACGTTTCTAATTTCGAAAACGGAACAGATTACATCAAAAATACAAAATACATCAAACGGTACAGCCTATGCTATACAGTCAGAAGTTTCTCTAAGGCAAAGTAGCGCGCTAAACAATGAAAGAAACAGTTAATACTAAGGTGTTTGATACCTGAGAATCTATAAAAATATTCCCAACAAGATGGGATCAAACATCTATCTTCAGGGATCCCAGCGACCCTCCCAAACAGACAGTCAGAAGGTTAACAGTCACACACCGAACCACGCCGTGACCTTGAGCTTAGTCAAACACGACCAAACTGTCAGTGGTCCGGCGACAGGCAATGATAACTTAGGCAACAAAAGACAAGTCTGTAATCAAAATCACGTAATAAAGGCTCGAACGAGGAAGAATGAAGAACAAAAGATATGGTTAAACGAGATCGGAACAAAGGTTAAAATACACAACAAGGAGAAGGAACAAATAAATGACAATACTGTTCAACAAAGAAGCTGCAGAAGGATCTTCATCGTTCTCTTTCCATTACACGGTCTTTGAATGTTTCTAAGTGCTCACCCATATAAATCTATTGGGATTCTCTTTAACCAGATCTGGAAATTCCTATATCATGTCTTATATTTGGTACTAATGTTGTGACATTCGTTGTTAACCGCTCGATCGTAGGAGGTGAGGTTACAATGACTGGGAAGACTAAAGTTAGCCACCAAGCACTTAGATAAGGTCAATAAAGAGTAACAGGAGATCACTTAGTCGAGACGGCATGGATAAGCCGTGGAGGCCTGACCACCCAAGGTATCCTCCTGCTCTTTGTATAAGATAATCTTCTGATTTTTATTCTATTATATTTTCTCTCACCCCATGTTGACCATATTTATTTTTATCATTTATCTAACAATTTCGTTTCGCTTATAAATTGGTTTAAGTTAACACTCCATATTGTTCAGCTCCAACATTAACGATTTGATTTAATTTTATATAACAAACAATTCTTGATTGACATATTACAATTCTAAATGATGTATTTTGTCTTAAATCTGGCCAACTTTATGTATTATCAATTTGGATTTATAATTGTATGACTTGATGAGGAATTATTGAAAAGGATATTC